GAAAGAAGAATAAAAATTAAAAGAAATAGAAATAATTAAAGTTGAAATAGGATAAGGTCTCCATCATTTGTAAGAAAAGAATCAATAAATCGAATAATAAACAGTAACTATTCAAGAATTAGAACAGAAAAATCATGCACTTTAAGAAGAACTGAAACAAAATGAATCATAAAAATTAAAAGAAATAGAAATAATTAAAGTTGAAATCGAAAAAGGTCTTCATCATTTGTAAGAAAAGAATCAATAAATCGAATAATAAAAAGCAACTATTCAAGAATTAGAACAGAAAAATCATGCACTTAAAGAAGAACTAAAGTAGAAAGAAGAATAAAAATTAAAAGAAATAGAAATAATTAAAGTTTAAATAGGATAAGGTCTCCATCATTTGCAAGAAAAGAATCAATAAATCGAATAGTAATCAGCAACTATTCAAGAATTAGAATAAAAAAATCATGCGCTTTAAGAAGAACTGAAAGAAAATGAATCATAAAAATTAAAAGAAATAGAAATAATTAAAGTTGAAATAGGATAAGGTGTCCATCATTTGCAAGAAAAGAATCAATAAATCGAATAGTAATCAGCAATTATTAAAGAATTAGAATAGAAAAATCATGCACTTTAAGAAGAACTAAAGTAGAAAGAAGAATAAAAATTAAAAGAAATAGAAATAATTAAAGTTGAAATCGAAAAAGGTCTCCATCATTTGTAAGAAAAGAATCAATAAATCGAATAATAAACAGTAACTATTCAAGAATTAGAACAGAAAAATCATGCACTTTAAGAAGAACTGAAACAAAATGAATCATAAAAATTAAAAGAAATAGAAATAATTAAAGTTGAAATCGAAAAAGGTCTCCATCATTTGTAAGAAAAGAATCAATAAATCGAATAATAAACAGTAACTATTCAAGAATTAGAACAGAAAAATCATGCACTTTAAGAAGAACTGAAACAAAATGAATCATAAAAATTAAAAGAAATAGAAATAATTAAAGTTGAAATAGGATAAGGTCTCCATCATTTGCAAGAAAAAAATCAATAAATCGAATAGTAATCAGCAACTATACAAGAATTAGAACAGAAAAATCATGCACTTTAAGAAGAACTAAAGTAGAAAGAAGAATAAAAATTAAAAGAAATAGAAATAATTAAAGTTGAAATCGAAAAAGGTCTCCATCATTTGTAAGAAAAGAATCAATAAATCGAATAATAAACAGCAACTATTCAAGAATTAGAATAAAAAAATCATGCACTTTAAGAAGAACTAAAGTAGAAAGAAGAATAAAAATTAAAAGAAATAGAAATAATTAAAGTTGAAATCGAAAAAGGTCTCCATCATTTGTAAGAAAAGAATCAATAAATCGAATAGTAATCAGCAACTATTCAAGAATTAGAATAGAAAAATCATGCACTTTAAGAAGAACTAAAGTAGAAAGAAGAATAAAAATTAAAAGAAATAGAAATAATTAAAGTTGAAATAGGATAAGGTGTCCATCATTTGGCAAGAAAAGAATCAATAAATCGAATAGTAATCAGCAACTATTCAAGAATTAGAATAAAAAAATCATGCACTTTAAGAAGAACTGAAGTAGAAAATGAATCATAAAAATTAAAAGAAATAGAAATAATTAAAGTTGAAATCGAAAAAGGTCTCCATCATTTGTAAGAAAAGAATCAATAAATCGAATAATAAACAGCAACTATTCAAGAATTAGAATAAATAAATCATGCACTTAAAGAAGAACTGAAAGAAAATGAATCATAAAAATTAAAAGAAATAGAAATAAATTAAAGTTGAAATAGGATAAGGTCTCCATCATTTGCAAGAAAAGAATCAATAAATCGAATAGTAATCAGCAAACTATTAAAGAATTAGAACAGAAAAATCATGCACTTAAAGAAGAACTAAAGTAGAAAGAAGAATAAAAATTAAAAGAAATAGAAATAATTAAAGTTGAAATCGAAAAAGGTCTTCATCATTTGTAAGAAAAGAATCAATAAATAGAATAATAAACAGCAACTATTCAAGAATTAGAACAGAAAAATCATGCATTTAAAGAAGAACTAAAAGTAGAAAGAAGGAATAAAAATTAAAAGAAATAGAAATAATTAAAGTTGAAATAGGATAAGGTATCCATCATTTGCAAGAAAAGAATCAATAAATCGAATAGTAAACAGCAACTATTAAAGAATTAGAACAGAAAAATCATGCATTTAAAGAAGAACTAAAGTAGAAAGAAGAATAAAAATTAAAAGAAATAGAAATAATTAAAGTTGAAATCGAAAAAGGTGTCCATCATTTGCAAGAAAAGAATCAATAAATCGAATAGTAAACAGCAACTATTCAAGAATTTAGAACAGAAAAATCATGCACTTAAAGAAGAACTAAAGTAGAAAGAAGAATAAAATTTAAAAGAAATAGAAATAATTAAAGTTGAAATCGAAAAAGGTCTCCAACATTTGCAAGAAAAGAATCAATAAATCGAATAGTAAACAGCAACTATTAAAGAATTAGAACAGAAAAATCATACACTTAAAGAAGAACTAAAGTAGAAAGAAGAATAAAAATTAAAAGAAATAGAAATAATTAAAGTTGAAATCCAAAAAGGTCTCCAACATTTGCAAGAAAAGAATCAATAAATCGAATAGTAAACAGCAACTATTCAAGAATTAGAATAGAAAAATCATGCCCTTTAAGAAGAACTAAAGTAGAAAGAAGAATAAAAATTAAAAGAAATAGAAATAATTAAAGTTGAAATAGGATAAGGTGTCCATCATTTGCAAGAAAAGAATCAATAAATCGAATAGTAAACAGCAACTATTCAATTATTAGAACAGAAAAATCATGCACTTAAAGAAGAACTAAAGTAGAAAGAAGAATAAAATTTAAAAGAAATAGAAATAATTAAAGTTGAAATAGGATAAGGTGTCCATCATTTGCAAGAAAAGAATCAATAAATCGAATAGTAAACAGCAACTATTCAAGAATTAGAACAGAAAAATCATGCCCTTTAAGAAGAACTAAAGTAGAAAGAAGAATAAAAATTAAAAGAAATAGAAATAATTAAAGTTGAAATAGGATAAAGGTGTCCATCATTTGCAAGAAAAGAATCAATAAATCGAATAAAAAACAGCAACTATTCAAGAATTAGAATAGAAAAATCATGCCCTTTAAGAAGAACTAAAGTAGAAAGAAGAATACAAATTAAAAGAAATAGAAATAATTAAAGTTGAAATCGAAAAAAGTGTCGGTCATTTGTTTGAAAAAAATTAATTAATTGAATAATAATAAGAAACTATTAAAGATCTGAAATTTCAAATTGTATAATTATCTACTGACTAATAATAAATTCAATCTACTAATTTAGATTAATTAGAATCTTTAAATTTATAACTAAATTAAATGCACTCGATTTTATCTGAAAAAAATTAAACCATTTTAGATTTTGAATAATAACTCTAATAACAGAACATACAATTAGAATAATTACTTAATAATACTTACATTTAAAGTTAAGAATAGACAATTTCTTAGCTACTTTAGGACATTACATCTTTAAAGTTATAAATTGAATAGTAGGATGATAATTAAAAGGTTTATGAATAGATTTTGAATAAGCAAATTGAAAAATTAAAACAAAATAATCTTACTCAATAAACTTAAATACTATCTTTAACTTAAGATAAAGAAAAACTACAGTAATATATTTTAATAAAATAGATCAATTTGTTCTTAATTAAAATAAATTGAATCAATACTATAAGATGAATTACATAAAATGTAAGATAAAATAGATGAATTATGCATTGAACTTGACAAAGTATAATAACCATCTACTCGATCATCTTCAATCACATCTTAAAATAAAACTTTGATATATGAATAGTTCTTTCACTTAGTAATTATATATGTTAAGATAGACCTCTCAATCAGTTCAGATGAATTCAAATCATTAAAATGCATTCGATGTTAAATTAAAATCATATTACTCCGAAGTTGTAAGTTAAGGTATACCTTTTCATAAAGTATCATTTATTATATTTTTAGTGGTCAAAATGGCTTGAAGACAAATTAAAAGAAGAATTAAATAAACATTAAAGATGATTGAATTGTATATTATATATTTTTTTTGATACAGCACCTTATGATATCATTAAAGATCCCTTTGATTTATTTGTTATAAATCAATCAATAAATTTCAAATTACTCCTAAATTTGTCTTTATCTCAAATAAATAAAAATTTAGTTTGGTATATATTTTCTAATTTTTATATAAGTAATTGTTATGTTATTGAATATATTGGATATTTATATTTATTCAGTATTGTTTTATTCAAATAGTTTCATATTTTAAAAAAATTATGTCTCAGTAATTCCTTAGCAGAAGGTCTTTCTTTTGGATCAGTTTTTAACATCCATCTCAATAATTCAATGAATGATGAGTGAATATTTATATCTGAAAGATGAGAAAATGAAATTCCTTGTCTCAGATGTTAATCTGAAATTACTCTTCCTTTAGAAAAGAATTTTGAATCTTAGATCATCCATTATGGGAATGGACCGTTTAAATACTCAATCATCAATAAATGTTTTTGGTTGTTATTTTTCAGTTTGCCAAACAGTTCTTTTTGGAAAAACATTTCATGCATTAAACATCCAAGACACCAAATATCTTGCTTCGAATTCCATTCAAGTCCCAATATTACTTCAGGTGCTCTATATTCTTCTGTATTGACCAGACCTTTATAGAACTATCTGCCATAAACAACATTTCCAAAGTCAATTATTTTCACATTAACTTCATCGAATTAGGATTTGAAAAGAATATTTTCTAATTTAATATCGGTGTGAAGATATTATAGTTCATGCATATAGTCAATTGCATTTAACAACTATTAAATGATAGATTTGATTTATTATTATGTAAATTTTTTTTTTACTAAGGATTCATATAGAGAGGGTCCTAAGGCCTCCATGAGGATGCATTGGCATTATTTGTGATAAAAAAAATCATATACTTTTACTATATGATGTCTACCAGGATGGTCAATTAATTTAGGGAATAAATTTAAAAATTATACTGCTTAGTATTCCTTTTCGTAATTATGAAATGAGTTTTTAATGATCTATTTTAAAATCATACTTACTTTCAATGCCCGCTAGTTATTTGATTAAACGTCTCTTACTTTAATTACTCTTCCAAAGGTTCCTTCATTGATCCTCTCCAAATATTTATACTTTCCCCCTATTATATCACCTTTGTCTAAAGAATAGCAGGATTCCTCTAAATCAATTACTTAGATTTGTTTAACAGGTTTTTTTTCTTTAGAACGAGATCTTTCCCGATCATCTATAACAATATAATTTTTTCTCATTAAAAAAAATGTATTATAAAATTGATTAATCACTATTCATTAATTTATATTGCATAAATAAAATTAAAATTTAAAATATTTATTCCGGGTATGAATTAATTGAACGATCAAAATCCCAATCCAATTTTCTCTTTATTAGGCAATGCCGTCTCTTGTATATTTTTGTATCTATGATAGAATATCCTAACTATGATTCAAAGGTGAATTATCTTTTAGAATCAAGAAAAATATTTTTATTTAATTAAGTCTTACAACAAAAAATTCAGAATATCAAAGATCAAAATAGTTTATTGGAACAACAATTAATTCAACCTTAAAAGAAATAGAGAAGAAAAGCAAATGAAATTTCTAAAATATATAAATGTACTTAGTGTGAAAAATCATATGGGTCAGAGGCATCCTTAAATCTCCACAGTAAATTAAAACACCCAATGATTGAATCAGAATCAAAAACATAAATTGAACAAAGTTTTTAAATTTGATTCATATTTAGTTTTAATTAAGTCTTTTTGGTTTTAACAATATAAAATTTAATTTTTAAACAAATTTTAAATTATATTCATTTATTTTTCTAGCCAAACCATTTAAATTTTGTGATGCATTTAGTTCGCATAATCCTTTTAGGACGGCGTCTTTAAACGACCATTCTTGAGTAAATTATGATCAGAAGAACAGGATATCAAAAATAAAATAGTAAAGAAAATTCATATCTTAAAAAATAGTTATAAAGATGATACTTATAATTAAAATGTAATAAAGTTCTAAAGAAAAGACTAATTAATTGAACTAAAATATTTTTTCATCAAAAATATGAAATTAATGTTAATTTGAAAGTTCAAGGTGAGATTCCAAATATCATGAATACTTCGAAAATAAAATTGAGATGATTAAGATATAAATGGCATCGAAAAAATGATGGTTAATATGAATAAAATTAATTACAACCACTACTTTGAATATTTCTTCTGCATTCTCTTAATAATAATTTTAGTTAAGATTATTTTAATATCGTATAAATTTAATATAACATTATGTTATTAAAATAATAATATTACTAATTAAGTTGATGAGTGTCTGATAATTATAAATTGTTCCTTAAATTAAAATAATAAAATAATTATCATGCATAATTTGTAAAAATCCATTTTTTATCTACAAAGAAAATATCAAAATATAGACTTATATTATATTTATTAAAATTTAGCATAAAAATAAAGTTTTAATGGATTAATATTTTTATTGTAATTTCAAAACTAGACTAGAATATCAAGGATTGGAGAAAAGTCATCAACACATGGTTTATATAAGTAATTTAATAAGGCATATCTATAGTTATTGTGATCCTTGATTGTTGATCTAATTTTATAATTTTATTTTAATTGGCTAATTAAAATTTAGCTATATAAATATATTGATAACTTACATTCTATCTAAAATTATACATAACTAACCTGCTTTTGAGCTAGGAATTTTTTAATCCTATAAGACTTTATTCAAACTTTAAAATGTTTCTTAAATTTTTTCAATAATTTCAAACTAATTTTTCATTTATGGTATACATATTCATTGTTATTATTAAACAATTATATTAATAACAATTCTTTTTCTATTGATATTTTTAATTAAGCTAAGTCATCTATTTCTGCAAAATATATATTATCATGATAGTTTTACATTTTTATTGCCCTAGTTTTATGATAAATTATACATCAATTAATCTTGCATATTAATTAAATCTTCAAAAATTCCTTTAGCACTCATGTCTAACTTTTCTAACAACTTCCATCTTGTGACTATAGAATTAAGTAGAGTCTTGATTAAGTTTAATTTACTTTCCATCTCAATATTAAATAATTATAAATTAAAAATTATAGCAAAAAACAAAATTTAGAAGGAAGGAAAGCATTAATCTCATAAAAACTAGAATCTAATTTTTGGGCTTATCATGAAAGCTGTATTGTAATTCATTCTGTAAGAAATATTATCAAACATTAAGAATTACTAGGCTAGCAAAACTTAATAGCAAATGAATGCAGATATATAGATGGATTTAGTTGTTAAACCAATTAAATTGATCATTCTTTTTTTTCTTCTGCTCTGATTTTACCTTTTCCATTTGTTAATCTAACATTAAGTTCGGCTGCTCTTCTAACAAGGGTTGCTCTTTTTCTGGCAGAAAGGTTGTGGGCTAATTCACCTGCAAATGTTCTATTATTTGTTAGTAATAGTTCAAGGTCTTTTTCATTGGTGATGAGCAATTTTCTAAAACCAGTTTAATCCAAATATCTAATATAAGCATAGTGTTTAATACCTTGTCTTCTTATCACCTCTATAACCGGCTTTAGGCATAGGTCTGTTTCCTCTAAATCTTCTTCTGACTCTATTATCAATACCTCTTGGTCTTCTCCAACTTGGTCTTAATTTATGAGGGTAGTCCTCTGATTCAAATCTAACAAATCTCTTTGTTCTCTTATGCACAATTCTCTTATGAGCAAGTGATTTGACAACCATTTGTTTATTATTAAATAAAAGATTTTAATTCAAATATTAATTAGCATTTGGGACATTTATTTCTAATATTATTATGAATATTGAAATAATCTCTTATTTGCAATTATTTCTATAGTAATTATAATGATATATTGAGCCACTTTATGACAATAGAACTGTAAGAATAATTTGTTAGAATATAAATTATTTTATTTTATTTGGTGACAATAAATGTTATATAAAATCCTTCTTAAAAAATTTCTGAAGAGTTGAAATTCTTCCTTTTTTTTGTTTTTGGAGTTCCATTTCCTTCTTTATGTCAAAAATATATTTTTTGTTTCACTTATTATCAACATTAAGTTCAAATTATTTTCAAAGTGAATACTAATATAAAAATTTATCCTTAATAATTTTGATTTAGTTTTAACAGTCACTAAACTCATATAGCAAGTTTGCTTTCGATGCAATCATTTATTAGGCTGTTCTCAACTATTAAGAAATCTTGGTTTTATCTATTTTTCAGAAATAGAAAACTTATTACTGCCAATTTATATGTTTTATGTAAAAGTTAAAAATTCTACTAATAAAAAGGATATAGATTTAATAGATTAAAATAGTTATTTGAGTAAATCCATTTCTATTTAAAAAATTATTATTTGAAAATATTATCCCTATTCGAAGCTTTAATGTAAAATTAGTGAGAACTAGAATTGTATCACCACATATCAATTCTAAAAGTAGAGAGCTTTCAATTTTTGGTTTAAAATGATTATTTCTTAATTATATTATTTATTTATTTAATAATGGACAATCTGGATAGCTAAATTGTTAATATTTTCAAAAATGAAATCTAAATAAAACGAATTCGGAAGGGTATTACTAAATTATATGCCAAGAATTAAAATAGTTAGAAATTCTGGATAGTAAGGAATTCAAAATTACTTTGAAGCAATTATCTAATAATTTACAAATTATTGTAGTCATTTATCAAAATTTAGGTTGAAATGCAACCAGTCGTTCAATTAAACTAAGGAAAACCTATTAAATTTTGTTTATATCTTGATAATAGATTCCCTTTTGTATTTCCAAAAGTTCATGTACTTAGTCATGTACAAATGAAAATATCTAAACTAGTTAACTAAACCAACTTTAGCTGATGGAAGAGATTATATCGAAGATGTATTACACTAATAATGGAGCCCATCTATTTTATTAAATGAAATCATTCAAAAGTTTCCCAAATTTCTCGTAAATCCATGATTCTTCTATAATTAGGATTAAGTTAGACATCACAAAGATAATAGAGATCAATTACTGTCTTTAGGAAAATACAATCAAGATTAGGAATATGAAGGATAATTAGGTTTGGAGGATGTTGAATTCTTTTAATGCAAAGAAATAATAAATGGAAGATCTTATTAAAAAATAATATAATTAAGCAATAGTCATATTTTGATATTGGAATCCTAAAATAAAGTGTTGAATCTATAAAGCTTTTAGCTTACAAAAGATTTAGTAAAAGTTGAAAAAGTAGATAATAGTGCCCTATTAACATGGAAATCTGATGACAATTTTAGATCATAAACATTAATCCCTTAAAATATAGATCAATTTATGGATTCTATACTTCTCTATAAAACTGGATCTTCAGGGAAAAAAATTTAAGAAGAAGAAGTAACATTATAAAAGTTTGAGAACTTTGAAATTTAAAAACTTCTTGACTAAGTCAGTTATTACGAAAACTAACTTGAACAAGAATTAACCCCATAGATTGTGAACTCTCTTATGAACTCTTATTAATAAGTAAGCATTATTAAAATTAGGCTATCGAATATTTTTCTGCTGTTTCTGATGAAGATTTTAAGGAATATGTTATGCGTCTTTAAAATTTAATAGGAAGAGAGGATGTTTAAAAAATACTTTCCAATAAATTGTGATCATCCAGTATTTGTATATGATTTATTGTTGAATCCAGCTAAAATATATTAATGCATTAATAAAAATTTGATTTTTCAGTTAAATTTCACTGTTTACTAAAATTTAGAAGAAAATTCCTATAAATATCCATTCTTTAGTATAATATATTGATACTTTAAATAGTGTAGGACCTTGGTTTTGGTTTTCATAATATATCGCAAAAAAATTTCATAATTTTCTTAATTATCATTCTATCCTTTTTTTAAAAGGAGTAATCTGGTAACCACTGAAAATAATTCTTTTTAATTTTTGAAGATAATGGCCATAAAGCCTATTTTATTTTACAATCTCGTATGGTGAGTTTGTAAAGCTTAAATTTCTTTGTAACCTAGAGTCAATCTTTGAAATTAATTAAATGCTAACAAAATTGAAGAATATTTCTATTCCTATTTATTAGGCGATTAAAGGAGTCCATATTCGTTATAAATATTGAATTTGATGTCAATTATGAAATAATATCCTTGATATAGTAATGATTTGCACACTGTTAAAAATATAATCGGATATAAAAATTTTGAAGAGGTATTGAAATTAAAGGGTATAGCTTATTATTAATGGTTGAATCCTCTTTCAATTGAGAATTTGAAAATAAATAATTATTGTATATATTAATTAATCAAGTCGAAAATCTCTGTTAAATCACAAAACTTATGACAGTGAATAAGCCTACTACAAAGTTTTGAAGAATCTCAAAACTAATTTTTATCCCATATAATTTTAATGGGTAGTTTCTGCAATCATATTCTATATGTTTCTACGCATTTTCTAGAGATTCTATTAAGCTATCTATTCTCTAATAAATAACTAGTGTGTCTGTTCCATGCTATTATTTTAAATGATTAACAAAGGATTTATGAATAAAGTTTTATGGCTCTGATAAGCAATCTTCAAAATAATACTTTTTCATTCTTTTTACATCTTAGCAAATAAATTTTAAATTTTCAATTTGAGTCTTAAATTCTTCGAAATATTCATTTATTTTAGCTGCACTCATTAAATAGGAACAAACGAAAATTAGATAGATGAAGAATATAATTCCTAAAGTAATCAGATAGTAATAATCAATTATAAAATAATCTAAAATTATCTGAAGTACAAATATTATGCTGACAATGCAAAATAGTATTAAAATAGTAAAATAAACTTAATTTCTTATGTGATATGAAGCACCATAATCAAAAATAATGGATCTCAGCATGCTCCAAGCTTCAATAGTTCTGGGACAATTAATATCAATAGTGGGAGCTAATTTGAATTCACAACATTTGACTCTTTTTGTGCTGATTAAATAAAACACTTGATCTAAAAGGAATATTTTTCTTTTCATATCATCAAGTGCAATTAATAAATACATAAAAATGCAGTTAAATTAGATTGTTTAAAATATACCACAAATAACATTAAGAAATACTTCAAATGGAGAATAAAAGTAGTTGTAACATTAAATAGCCTTTGGAGTTGCTACTATGATTATACCTATAAATAGTGATGTCATAACAATGTATTTTCTGGTGTTCAACTATTAAAAAGATTCAATAAAATATGAAATCAAATTGATTCCACTATATTTTCCATTCTTCACTTCATTAATTTCCATATTCTGTTCTTAAGCAAGTGCATTTTAAGTTTCTTACATAGGCTCAACGATGAAATCAAAATAAAAAAATTGTGTATCGAAATCATGTCTCTTGGCACTTCTTGCAATTTCTAAATACTTTAGCTTTTTTGTTTAAGCTGCCCAATCAAATAAGACTGTATCGAATTTGATAGTTTTTTCTGATAACCGAGATTATTCGTATAATTCAATTCTATCCTCATTCAAAGTAGAGAATTTTGCTGCTATTACTATTGAACGAGTTAACAAAGAAAACCAAAGTAGTCCCATTTCTAAAGATGAGATTAGTTCAAAATAAAAGTACATAATAAGTGAAAAAATATGTCCTCCCCATTGTAAGTAGTGAAATACAACATCTTATCTACAAGACCAAAATCCTAAATTATACATGAGCATTGGTTTATTAAAGAAAAAAAAGCATGTGAACGGACCAAATATATAAAATAACTAAATAGTTAATTTTAAATACCAACTGATACATATAATATTAAGCAAAGTGTTTCATATTGAACTCCGCCTTATAAGACAAGTCTTATTTTTGTTTTTAGCATTTAGTTTCGTGAAATGGAGTTTCATCAATTGTTGAATTCATTTTAGTGAAAATGATTTGCAATTCAATATCTTCCTCGGGTTATTTTTAATTGTCAATGGGAACTCCAACTGAGCACTTATCATGATTCCAAATATAACATCTAGAGGGAGCAGGAGAATCTTCTATTTTCTGAGTATTAATTTCTTCCATAATATTATGATTAAAAAGTAAATTAGAAACATATATATAATCACGATAAAAATAATTTTGCTTAATTCTTATAAAGCTACAATTTCAGTATCTTTTCTGGATCATCTTCTTAAAAGTAAACTATTGCCTTCTCAACCCAAAAATCCTTTTTCTTCTTAGATGGTTACAAATTCATCATAAAATGGAGCTAAAAATAAGTGTAATATACCTTTTTGGCATTTTTCACTAAAGCTTTAATGACTGGCATTTCTGTAAGATCCTAGGCAGTTTTTCCTGCAACCGTTTTAATTGAAGGATTTGCTTAATAAACTAGTAACACTCTAACGGTATCACAATTGTTATTTTTGGCAGCTATATGTAACGGAGTTCTACCCACTATTTTAATACTATGATTTTTTACTCATATCTCTAGCATCTAGATCAGCACCGTTTTCAACTAATAATTTAATAACTTCTATTGAGTTATTGCCAACAGCATGATGCAGGGGAGTTTTCTATTAATTATCACGATCGTAAACATGAAAACGACAATCTCTTAACATGCTCTCGATTTCTCTTAAGTTGTCAGCTTTTACTTACCTAAAAAATTCAACACTATTAGGTCTTTCATATGCTTAAGAGGGGAACACTTAATTATTCACAACATCATTTAAAGTTATATTGAATCGCTTTAATCTGTCCATAAAATTTCTAAGAGCTTTCATCACTCTTAACCTGAGATCAGCCTTGGCTTCTTCGTCTAATCTTTGAGTTTTTGGACTCTAAAGCCTTGCCGATGATTGAGTCTTTAGTGTTCTTAGAGTCTTTAGTGTTCGATAAGCAGATGGTTATTATGGTTATAACGCCTTTTTATTCTTTCTTACGTGATTCATTGTGTAATTAACTTCTCTGATGTCTTCTCTAAACTTTTTAACATTTGCAATCATTCCATTTATTAATTTTTACTCATCCTTTATTAATTATTCAGTCTACTCCTTCATTCTTCCATCTATTTTGTCTTGAATTATTCTAAGTTATTTATGAATTATTACTAAAAAAATTAGTCCATTTGAGATTTAGGAATAAATACATCAAAATCCTAATTCTCATCAGTCTTTTATCTCTAAGATGCTACTTAATCTATCATCATCTCGTGCTTTTGACCGTAATTTCTTTTAAAAATAATATTTTTTTCTTAATTTGGTTTCCTATATTTAGAGAACCTAATCTGATCTATGAATTTGTTTTAAAGGTTTTCGAATTCCCCTTCATCATCAGATATAAACAATGCCTTTGACATTTCTTTGGCAGACTACTAAAGTGCCTAGGCTGACTTTTCCATTTATATAATTGATTCGTAACTATTTTTTTCTAACTATCCATTTAGAAAGCTAGCCACGATTTTGCCGGTTGCACTATGAGATTATTACATAATTGCACATAAAAAGTGAGTCTACTATAATAATTTTTCTTTTGATTCCTCACCTTTAAGTGGATTTGACTAGGCGATACTATTATTATTTAAGTTTCTTAAATTGGTTATTTTATTGCCTCTTCTCAAAGGAGGCTTGTTGGGTGGCAATTAAACTGTTTCAAGCTTATTCCTATATGATGGGTGAATTTATTTGTTAAATCTATATGAAGGATCTGGATCAGAAGGATGAGTATGCAATTTGGGCGAGTTAATTGGAGAGCAATTCTAACTAATGAAGTCTGTGTTAATAAAGGGACTCACTTATGACTTTTATAATAAGGTGGACGTTTTGGATATGTTTGGATAACTTATTGTTAGTGTGCTTATTACAATGTGGATGATGTTGTATTTCTAGTGGTTCTTTACTTCTAAGCGGCCTTTAGTTCTGATTTTAGTTTAGCCTACTCTTAAGCAAGCATGTGCCCTAATTTAATCATTTTTTTTATAATTATTATCTATAAAATGAGTGTTAAATTATCATCACTATAATTCATATCTCGAACTTGTACTTCCTGGATTTTACAATCTAATATTATGAAATTGATATACAATGTATGTGGATTAACAATCTGTTGATACTTTTAACTTTATACAATTGGCTTATTTGGTAACTTCTTTGCTAATAGATCCAAATCTAAAATGTCTTATTCTTAGATTTCCTCCTCATCAATATAGATCTAGAAGTCTCTCCAAAAGAATGGATTCAGTTTCATATCTTTAATGACATCCTCTGCACTTTAAATTAAATCTTAACTTAATCCCCATAAGGAAATCTTGCCTTTCTTGCCTCCAACTAACAAATATTATCCATCATTTGAGAAATCTAATGAAACTATACTGAATATTCTGTTAATTTATTCGGACACTTAACCTGTTCCACATTCATATATTCTTATATTCGTTGGAAGCATCTTTTTATTTATCTTAGCATTTTTAGTCAAATATTCAATTGAAGGAATCTCTATAAATTATTTATCTGATGCATTAACTAACGGCAAATGAGCAACAGCAAAATATAATCCAGATTTATCAATCTTTAAATGTCTTGAAAAAGGAGGAACTGTTATTTTGGCTCTCTTCTCTGAACTTTATATTTTATATATATAAACAAATCCATAATTCGATAGTATTAGAATGTAATCTTTTGAAGGGTGTAAATCAAATCCAAATATTGTGCCTTCAATTGTATATATACTTAGAGCTAAGGCTGATAACTAAGAATTTCCTTTATCAATTTGATGTCTCCTAACAGAATTATGATTATAGACAGTCAATGAATTGAATGATTTATCATTCCTTGGAATATAGGAAGTTGAATATGCTTGGGTGTTAACTTTAACGATGTCAAATTCTAATTAAAATAGTTTGATTCCCACAAAGGATATATTTTCAAGCTTATCTTCCAACTTCAGTACAGGCTTGAGTTAATTTTCACAATCTAAAATAATTGTAAATCCGTTTTTAAAGGCTACTCCCAAATACTGATATGCGGGACTAAACTGCATTTCTTTAATTCCTAAATTTTAAGTTAAAGCAATTTGCCTACGAAATTATACGTTGTTTAAAGAGAAAACAAACAATTATCCTTTATTATCTCCTAAATATATGTCATCTCTATAATTGTCAATGACACAGCATTTAATTTTAGTCTGAAATTACCCAATATAATATTTACTCATTGAGAATTTATCTCCACGAGAATTAGAGACTCCAAAAGAGCCATCATTTGAACATGAATAAAATTAATTGCTTTGTACAGGATCCCAAGAAACTTAATTAATTCTCCCTCCATGTCCATTTTATTAATTTAATATTATTCTTTTATTGATATCCATAGTGACCAAGGTAGAATCATTCAAGGAGAATACAAGAATTTGATTAGAGTGCTTTAATTATACGCAATAGCAAGTATCATTTGCATGAATCTCTGTTACAAATTTAAGGGTAGATATTTCATATATAAATATCTTACCACTCCTTGTTGATAAATATAAATATTATTCAAAGCTTGTAGAGGCAGCAAATTCTTAATCTGGAGCTTTTAATTAAGAAATCAGATCTCCTTCTGAATTTAGAATGTATAAATCTCCTGTCACCAATATAAGAATGATTAAATTCAAAGATTTGTTTGTGTCTATGTGTTTAATATTCTTTAATGTTATCCTATTTGTGATTTGAACACTATTGGATACTAAGTTCCAAAGAGTAACCTATCCATTACACATGAAGCATAATTTAGTTTTTGGTTTTGAGGGCAAATAAGAAAATCCATAACAAGGATTCAGATTATCTAAATCAGTAATGAAAACTAGTTTATATTATTGAATGTCATAAACAAGTATTCGATGACCTGTATTAACTTCAATGATAATCAATTAATTATTAATATTCGCCATAAATATGTTTACTGTTTTCTTATCAGTGTCAGGTAGATAGTCATCGAAAGTTCGATTAAAGGAGTCAAATTCAGAAATTTATAGGTGATTCTTAAATCCCATACTTACTGATGCAATAAGATTCTATCCACAAAAACAGATTGCCACAATCTAATTAACATGGCCATGCATTTAAACTTTAGAATTATTTGTAGTATCAAGCAATAGTAAACTGTTTCCTTATTCAAAAGCAACTAAATCATTTTTTACATCAAATGAATTTGTGCCACCTAGAAAATCAATAATCATAGGAAATAAAATTATATATGTTTTATTTTAATATGTTTAATTTGGTCAAAAACCTGGTGGCTAGTATGATCCAAATTGTTATCCTCCATAACCCATAGGAGCTTAATTCATTTAGGAATTTGTAAAACCTGAAGACTATCCAAAACCTAAATTGCTACTACTCATCTAGCTGGGTGGACCCAACATTAATTAACCTTAGTTCAATAGGAAATCTTAAGCTATTGGTAAGGCTTATGATTATTGTTATTATGCAGTTTGAATTTCCTATTTAATAAATACAAAATTGTACCTTCTTTTCTCTGTCCTCGTGCTTCTTTTATACATACTCAATCTTGTGAGTCAATTCCCAAGTGATTTAGATGAAGTATGGCATAGCAAATTCCATAAGGCCTGATCTCCAGGTCAATTCCATAACTTAGTCTGGTTTCAATAAATCATAGCATGTGTAAAGACACACTGTAAAGAACTCGCTCTCCTTATTCTATATGAAGAATTCCAATAATTCATAGACTAACTTAACATTCTAAGATTCTTAAGCAGTTTCGATGGCATCTCTGTACATTTAGTCTTATTTACTCAAGTTCATTGATAAATCATATTTCTAAATCTTTCTATATAAATAAGCAGCGATTCTTCTGAATTCAACTAATTCGTGAGATTAGGTCTTTTATGCCAAAGCCAATTAGTCAAAGTTTTCATAGTTCTTGACTGATTCTCTAAGATTTTCATAGTCCTCAATATCTAAATAGAGTTGATTCAAGGCATCGTTAACATCTTTGTTATTGGCATTTTGGATTTGTTATAAAAATGGTAATGTCAAAGCCAAATAGCCAGTGTTCTTCATCAATTTAACAAATTTGCTTAAATCGATCTTAGATTGAATGCTTCTCAATAAATCATTAATTTATTCTGGTTATTCTTCAAGGTAAAAGAGAATACATTTGTAATACAAATCTGTATTGGTAATCTTTTAGAGTAACATGACTAGAACATCATGTGAGAAGGCAGTTGGTGAATGCTCGATCATAATGTTGATAGCATTATCTGGTTAATCATAGTGTTGATGTAAGTAGACAGCTTCACTCCAGAGACACATCTTTTCACAAGTTCTTAAGACTTTCAAAATGTTCATCTTCTAGAAGTATTATCTGCAGTGTTCCATGACTTTCTTCTATTTGTAATGGCAATAAAGAACTGCTAATTCTGTGAAGATACCAACATGTGCTCTTTACATACCTAAGGCATTCTCCAATAATATCATCATTTCCTCTTATGCATTGTATTCTTCATATTATTTTATCAATGACTCCAACATATCTGGTACAATGATAATATTCTAAGCAGCAATCGAAGCATACTTGAATTCTGATGCCTCAACACAAGCAAAGCATAATTCTTTCCATGTCTTGGAAGTATTGGCCTTTTAAGCTGCTTCAATAGCTTTGTTAAATTATTTTAATCTAACCAAACAAGATGCTATTCTTGCATTATTTTTAAGGGCAGTGAACAAGATCTTAGCTGCCTCATATAATTATTGATCATAGCATCTCTCTCCTACCTTAATTACATCTGCTGAGTTGCTTGATTAAATCAAAGATTCAACATCTAAGTTCTTGTCTAATTTTGCATAACAATAGATTAATGAATTGTCAATGTTGACATCCTTGACTGTTTATCTGCACATTAAGAGATATTTGACTAATAATTCATATTTCTCTTCTTATTCAGCAACATTAATAATATTCAAGAATGCACTTGAATCATTAGCCTTGATGTAGCAATCAATTGATTCATTTGTTTATCCTTAATTCAAATAAGCTTCAGCCAATAATGACCATACTTCTGGGGAACTAGCATACTAAGCATATTCATGAGCTCTTGGAATGCTTCCCAAATTTCTGAGTAATACATTAACAGCATCAATGTGTAAATTAAATTTCTTAAAGACAGCATAAGCCTCTTCAAACAAGTTATATTCTTCATTCAAACAATGTTAAGCAATAATTTATGGATCGAATTTATCCAATCTATTGATGTAATCCAACACTTTGCTTGTGTCACTTTGAATGGCTGTGATGATTAATAAATTCTATAATTATTTGTATTACATAAATTCAGGGTTATGTAAAACCAATTTCTCCAACAAACCCAATAATTCATAAGGAATCTTGGCCAACACAAATGCTTTGACAGCTGCTTAAACTTCATCAACATTCTTTGAGTCTTGTAATGCTTAAATGACATAGTCAATTAAATTTTTTCTGTGTGGATTTGTCTCTTATAATACTCCAGCCCATAAATCAACATCCTATCTTTCTACGAGATATTTGGCTTAGACTCTGTACATTTCATTTTTGTTTGTTAAATTAATTAATTCTTAATCGCATTGTCCCCAAGCTCTCTTGTAAGCTAGAACTGCTAATTAAGGATCTCTTTCCTCACAGAATTTACCAACAGCCTTTGCATCATAGAATTGATTATTGATCAAGAAACCATCAGGATCTTATGATGTATCAATCTTGATTTTGGCTAATGCATTGTGAATAGCTGGAATTTGGTTGCCTTCTGTAACTCTAGCTTCAAGCCATTATTCTAAGACTCTAAGTTTATTTCTTTTTTCGAATTCATCAACAGTTGGTTCAATTGGACACATTCCACGGATGTTATACAACAATTATTTCAAGTAAACTTCATCGCATTCCAAATCAATTAATGTACCAAATACACCAGGAGCAGCATTAGGATTAACTTTGAAGATATAGATTTCAATATATCTAGTGAATCCATTTTTATAAAGATATCTGGTCAATTCATCAACAAATCCATTCATATCACATAAGAATATCAATGGTCTTGGATCAGATAACTTTTATTCCTTTAAGTAATTTTTGACTTTATCAGCATCATAACAATCTCCTTTTTCTGTAATAACTCTTTCTAATTCTTTGATTTAATTGCATTTAGCAGCAGCTTCGATATATTTATAATAGATATCCTTATCAGATGTTGTGTTAATCAAAGATCCCAAAAATAGGTAGACTCCTTCAAATGCACTAACAGATTCAAAAGACTTTAATGCAAGCTGGAATTGTTAATCTTTAATTATTTTAAACTGCGACATTGACAACAACTTATAGATTCTATCTATTGTGTCTTAATAAATCTTAAAGGCATTATAATGTCAATGCAGGATCAACTCTGGATAAGAAATTGACAAGGAATTCAGGAGGGAGAGCATGAGTATTAAGAATAACTCTTTTAACATCCTTTGGATCTGAATAATTTTCAAGTGCTCTTTGATAAAGTCCTTTTTATTCACATAATTGGGCAACTCTAATTCTATCAAATTGGGTCCAGATGTTCATTTATAAGATGGCATCGGCAACTTATGCAGCAGCCTATAAGTTCAAGCATAAGACTTTAGTTTAGAGTGGTCCATCTTCAGCTCTGTTGTTTTTCATGCATTCAACCAAGAAGGCTGTCATTTCTGGTAATCTCTAGAATTATTCAAATAATTCAGCAATTTGATGAACATTGATGCTTTGGTCTCTTTGATATAAAGATTTGGCCATAGCTAAGGCTTGTTCTGGAGATTACATCATCATATTTCTCAACATAGCCATGTAATCTGTTGATACTCCAAATTGTTATTGTAATTGCATAGCCAATTCTAGCTATCCAGTTTCCATATAGCATTATGCTAATTTCTAGTATGATTTAGATTATTTGTAGATTTGAATAGCTAAATTGGCATCATATCTTTTTAAGAGATCTCCTAATTCATCTGATGGTTCTAATTTATTTTATGCAATCCACTATTCAACGAATTGTTTTCTTCCTTGTTATAAAATTGGTCCACACAATTCGATAGCTTCAAATTTATTCAATGTTCCCTTTTCTAATAATGTTTGGAAATAGACGATGAGTGGTTATGGTTATCCTGGTTGTTATTGCATTTATTTGAATTTAGCAATACTTTCTGGGTTTCTAAGAACTGTACCAGGAGCACTGGCAGCAATTTTAGCAGCACTCAAAGCATCTCCAGATAAGATGGCCTTATTGAATTGATCTACAAACATATTATCTGCTCCAGGAAGCTTATATCTACTGGCCAAACGGAATCCCAATTGAATAACATCTGGAATATGTCTGCAAGTGTTAATTAAGTAAGACACCAATTAGTCATCATTAACAGATATTGTGTAGACAATACCTTCCTTACCAATAATATGATATTATCCTTGATTAATGTTTGGGGCACCTACAAAGACATTCTCGTTGCAGATTCTCTATTGGATTATAAAATATCATTTTATACCTCTCTGAATATCAAACTGGCAGTGCTTAATTCATAGACAGTCAAAAATGAAAATTTGCTTATTACATAGATCAATCCATATTTTTGATTAATGTGCATTAAGACTGGGAAATCTGTTGGATAATTTGGATCAGTTTAAACTTCAACTTATCTTTTGTATTTTTAGAATCCATTGGGTGGTACTCCAATTTCTGTGATGTGTAATCTGCTTGTTGTTTCACCAGACTTTCTCTCCACAAAACAGAATAAACTGCTTTTGTAGTCATCTGTGTGAATCAAGGCATCTCCAAAACAACAACAATGTCCTTCTAAGATTTATTACCTTGCCTATTCAATCAAAAATAATTGAATGTGACCATTAATTGTTCTACCTCCATCTGGTGTTGAAATACCATATAATGCACACCATTTTTCATTTCCTTCCAATCCATATCCTATGATTTACACTGGATTCTCTAATGACAATGCTCCAGATCTTGTTTTATTATTATTTAATACGATACCTGTCCATCACTTTGACTTGTTGCTCATTGGGATTTGTGATATTGATGTGATATACTGCTGTTGGAGTAACATATGCTAATTTTTATGGGTTGACCCATCTCCAAAACACTATAGTCTCATTCAATTCGACATTCTTTATTCTTTACTTCTCATCCAAATTGAAGATTTAGATCACAGTTGAATTTGGCTATTCCCCTGCAGCTCTAAGAGCGATGATATTCTTTTCTGGATGCATTAAAGCAGAGTCTGCCTTGTTTGGCTTACGAGAAATCAATTGCTTTGTCTCAAAATTGAATTGCAATAATTGAGTATCTCCATTCGGGGCTGTCTCTCTGATTGTGATATATTTATCTGATTCGAAGAATATTTAACCAAACTTGAAATTGGTTTGACTAACACCCAATTAAGAAAATCGGTATGCCTCTTAAACTCTTATTGGTCTTATTGGATTCATAAAAAAATAAAAATTTAAATTTCACATCTCCACATCATATCGGTATTTGAATTCAATAATTAATTAGCGTGATTTAATAATTATATAATAGGTATTACGCAAATCATTTTTATATTTCCTTACCAACTATCCTTCCTCTTGCTACAATTCCCATAGTTTATACTCTATTTTCTCAAGAATGCAACAAAAATGCTCAACATTTCCCTTATCTGTTAATGAGGTCTGAATATTTAAGAAAAGGTTGCATCATTTTTGTTATAATAATATACTTTATTCTCTTTTGGCTATTTAAATTGATAAAATTTCAAATGGAGATTACAAATTGAATTAATCAATTAATTATTCTTTTGGTTATCAAAAAATAAATAATTCATTTTGTGAAATAATGCCTATTTTAAATTCATAATTATTACCCTTATTCAAATGTGATTTATCTATATTAAGGAGAAGTGAAGTTTAGTTTCAATTTAATTACTAATTCAAATTTGATCAATTACTTCTCTTCTCTTTTATTTTGAGATTAAAAAGGGTTTGATTATGTTTTTTGATATTATCTTATATGAATGAAGTTAAATAAAAAAGCACAATAAACATAATTTTAAATTTTTTGGAATATCATATTTGTATGTTCATTATCAAGATTTATGATCATAAATTTTATTAATATGAATAAAAGTTTTAAAAGTTACCCTTCCTTCGCTGCATTCTAGACAGAGCAGGCCAAATCAAATAGGTAATTTTGATAAGTATATCAGTTTGAAAAAAGATTACTCTATGTTTATCATAACTCAGTTTATGATTTGACGGATTTCATAGATAAACATCCTGGTGGAAGAGGTCCTTTGAATACATACAAAGGGAGAGACTTAGAAAATGTATTAAATTATGCTTAGATTATAGATATTTTTCAATCCAGCAATACACAAACATAGCTAATCGGCACTGTATACAATGGAACGGTATAAATGTGGAGTAATTGAGAACAAACCGATTTAATAACAACAATAAACCATGTTAGGCTCAAAATCAACAAATGTTTCGCAATCTATTGTTACGAATAAATCCCAGAAAAATACACCTTAAAAAAATGATTCTGATAAAAAACTTCAATAAAAATCACAATCTGTTAAACCTAAAGCTCAACCACAAGAAGATAGACTAAATCAATCTATGAGCAAATTAAATCAATCGATGACAAGCAGTGTTAAATCTTAATTTCTACTCATACCAACATAATAAGAAATACTGATGATACAAAAATAGAAATAGCAGAAACTGATTAAATCGTGGAAGTAATCTGAAATTGAAGAATTGAAGAGACAATAAGCTGAAGTCGAATAACTAAGAGTTGAAAAAAAAGATGATCGAAAGACTTAAAGTGAAATATTAGTCTCACCCCGTAAGAAGTCGACTAACCCCTATTATTTAGCATGGCTTGAGAGATAAAATCGATAGGAGTTACAAAAATAGGAGGAATCCACAACTAATATCCTCCCGGCTTATCTCACATAATCTAATGATCAAAATATGATCAAGCAAGAAGATACTAAGTATTAATCATAATCTTATGATGTCGATAAAAAGAGATAATACGACTCAAAGCTATCCTAATCAGTCATTATAGAGAAAACATAGAAGAAAGTCAATCCTTACTATGAAGAATGGAAGAGAAGATAAAGCTTAAAAAGCTAAGATTACTAAAAAGAATAAGTTTCATAAGAGAACAACCAACTATCAAAATAGCAATCAATCATTATGGAAGAGAATGAATCATAGATTTCTGGTTAACCATCTTCTATGAATAATAGTTTTCAAAGATCCTACTCAATGAGTTAAAGAACAATCATGCAAGAAGATCCTTAATTAAGTGTACCTGTTTTTGCTCCAAAATTCATCTCTCCAATTAAAGCCAAATTTGTGTTTAGCATGAAAAAGCTAGAAAGTAGATGATTTTTGGAACATATAAGATTTTAACTACTATATATAATTCAAGTTTATAAAATTATCAATTGATAGGATGAAATATTATTTTATTTCCTTCCTTCTTTTGAGTAATAATTTTTATTTCTAAATTTTCAATTAAACATAAATCTCATTCTCCTGAATAACGGGTTCTCTTTTTGGACTACATTTGTCATTTATATAAAATACATTAAATAAATTGATGTTATTTATATATTGACTTACAAATAGAAAGAATTTAGAAAACAGTTTAATAGATTTTTAGTGCAAAGAAGAGTATGAATTAAAATATAGAATATAAAACTCTTGATTTTGAATCGATATATATGAAAATCATTAGTATTTTATAATGTAAATAGTTTTTCTTTCAAAATATGTTTCTATACAGAAATGATAAAATTTCTATGTGTCCTGATGTTGGAAGATAGTTATGATCAAAATATTTTCTTTATTTGAAAATTTTCTTTATTATAATAATAATCATGAATGACTTAAAACTTCTTGAAAAATTACCTGCAAGGAAAACCAATATCAAGATGAATTTTGCCATAAATGGAGTATTTTCCTTTCCTGAAGAATGGAGAGTAACTGATGAAGCCAATCCAAACTTATTTTAATACTCAGTTGCATTTCTTGATTAAAGATTATCAGGTGGGAAGGTATTACCTCGAGAATTGACTGAGAAGGAGAAGAAAGAAATTGAAGAAGCAGAGGCAGCAAAGAAAGCAAAAAAATAACCGAAAAAAAGATGCTAAAATTGAGGTATTAAGAATTATTATTCTTAGCCTCCTAAATTAACACCAGAAGAAGAAAAGGAAAAGCTTCAAAGGGAATAAATGGAACTTGAAGAATAAAAGAGACTTAAGGCTGAATGGGATGCTCTAACAGAGGAAGAATAATTTTATAGGACTTAGGAGGATCAATTCAAAAGTCCAAGTATTAAGTTTGATCAGAATTCGTTCTCTTAAGAGTTAACTGGTTAAAGGTTGGTGATATAACAAGAGAGAGTGAGAGTTGACAAGGGAGAATGGATATTTTTATATAAATCACCGATTCCAGGAGATGAAGAAGTAGCAAAACTCAAAAAAACTAAACCTAAGACTCTAAATGTGAATGATTTAAATATCATTGTCTTTAAGGCTTGGATAGATTATCTACCATTTTAAACTCCAGGATAAATTGAAACTATCCAAAGAATCAAATTTACTTAGTATATGGACGAGCAATCTCCTCCTGAAACACCTAGACCTAATGTGGAAACAATGTATTTGTACTTAAAAATCAATTTGTCTCAACCGATAACCCCTATTAGGTATGAACCCTAACCAACCTTTTAAGATTTGATATCTCTAGCTCCTGAACCTCAACCAATCCCACTAAGTTAGTAGTGCATTGAAGAGTTGAGGAGTGATCTGTAGGTCATTATAGAATCGTTGGCGATGGAATATTCGAATATGTTTTCGAAAGATCTAAACAAATATCAAAATGAAAAACAAAGTAATATGTTAATGACTCATAAGAAATAATCTCTTTAATAAAGGAAGGAACACTTTCTCTATGATTTCAACATATCAGGAAAATACAAGATTTTAAAGGAAAGAATAAAAAAGAGTATAGTGAAATTATGCAGGGATAAGTTTAGTAAATCAGGTTCAGTAACAGGTATTTCAACAACATAATCGGATTAATTTTACTCAGAATTGTATGTGTTTCTAATGGAGGAAATGAGATAGGTGTTAATTAATATGGTAAGAGAAAATAAGGAAGCATTGTAAGAGGATTTCTCTCATTTACTATCTAAGAAGAAAACTATTTAAGATGTTGGATTTTAAGAGATCATTGTTGAAAAAACAAATGAAACTAGAAAACAACAACTAGAGAGATTATGTTAAGAATACGAAATTTTAAATAGAACTGAGGAGGTAGAAAAACATCTTAGAGATTTAAATTTGATTAATCCAAAAGATCAAGATGCTTTGATGAAGTTTGCATTCTTCTGTCTCAGATGCGCAAAAATAGATTAAGCAGTAACACTAGTAGAATAGGCTTTATCTTTTGATGGGCATAATCAATAAAATTAATTATTACTCGCTGGTTTGTATTAAAAACGAGAAAAGATTTCAGAAGCTAAATTTATTTTGGAATTATTATTAGATTAAGATCCAAACAATTTAATTTATCATCTCTTCTACAATCTGATTATTTAATCACAAGACTAAGAATTAGCAGATTTCATGATGTAAAAAGCTGAAAGAATATGGCTGAGACAGCTGAATCTAATCAAGCAGGAAGGAATGCATCATGAAGATCCTTAACTATTTGATATTCCTTGGATCAAGATTCCTATTCCAGTTCCAGATAAGCCAGAAAAAGACAAGGCCATCTTAGAATAAAGAGAATAACAAAGGATTGCTTGGGAGAATGCTCATAATTAACCATAATTGACAGAATAATAATATGATCAGATGATTTTACAATTAGTAGAATTCTTCGAGAATGCTTGTCTCTTTGAATTAGCTGAATAATCATTGAGTCTATTGAATGACCAATCTCATAATAAGATTACTATGTTAAGAGCTAAAATATACTTGTATAAGTCTGAATATGCTTAGTGCTTGGATCTGATTGAAAATATGTTAGGTATTATCATGTTATATTCAAAGAGTTTAATCCTGAAAACTTAGAAATACGTATTGAATACATAAAAGTATTGTTTAAGAGTCAAGCCTTTGAAAAATGTGAGAAGCAGATAAAATTTGTATTACCGAATCCCTAATTGAGAGAAGATCAGATCACTTATTTTAGTATGTATTTGATGTTAGGTTCGATTTATATCAATGAAAAGTAATTTGGAAATGCTAGAGCCGTATTCACAAAGGCTTGTCAAATTAAGGACAATTCGTCATTGTCTTGGATGGGATTGGGTATTTCCTCTCACGAATGTGAAAAGTATAAGGAGGCAGAAGATGCCTTGAGAATGGCTAATCTATATGAGCCTACAAATGATACAGTTTGGGGATACATAGCTTTGAATTGTTTAAAGGATGGTAAGAGGTTCAGAGATGCTAATTCAGCCTTGAAAGAGATGAATAAAACCGATGTATTGAATAGCACATATAAATGATTAGGCTGGATAAGTCAATTTGATGGTTCGTTTAAGCAAAGAATTTTACAATATTGAGGAGTATTTAACTGCCAAGGAATTATTGCAAAAGGCTATAAATTGGGCCAAGATTCAAGACATGCTTACAGAGGAAATCAATCAATTTGAGATTCAATTAGCAGAGACGAATGAGAAACTCGGATTACTTTAGCAAGCTCTAGATATATATTAAGAGATATTAAATGGGGAATGTGGATCTTTGGAGGAACACTTAAAAGAGCAAATAAATAGACTGCATTTCCAGACCAATATAAAATATTGATAAAATATTATAAATATTTATATTATTAATATTAAATAATGAAATCCTTGTTCAGATATCATTTCATTAACAAAGTCAGCATTTCCTCGATCAATCAGAATACATTGATTCCTTTATATAAGTCATCAATTTCAGGTATTATCATTATAAACACATTGCTAGATTAAAAATTAAACAATTTTTCATAATCCTACGTACCTTTCAAGGAATACTTTTAATTGGTTCCCATCTTTCTTGAGAGGTATTTGTTTGATCACGGCAAACATTTTGTTGTTGGAATGGCATATTCGAAGGAATCTAATCTATTGTAATTGAAATGTTTGGCTCATTCAGGACTTTATACTAAATATGTTTGATTTATCAATTATATTTAGATTGTCCCTCAAAACATCATCCCTGCCACATTTGGTGATTACAATCAGAGTGCCAGATTTAATTTGTTCGAGCACACTATTCGAGTGGACTACGATATGATTTACTATAACAATTAGCAAAATGAATTTTACCTATTTGATAGGGAGGGCAAATGGGAAGAAGTGGAGATTCCAGAATTATCAATAGAAAAACTGTTTGATGAGAAGAAATATTTGAACGAAGTCTTCAGATGATCAAGAATAAATAAATATATAAAAATATTAATTATTTTTAACAACCATGAGGCCCAGATTATTTCAATAAGACAAAAAAATTATTGTAAAATCGCATTAATATTATAGAATTATTCTTTTGACTCCAATCAATATGGGTTTCCCCAGACCACGAAGAATAGGGACAATCAAAAAAGTATGTTACAGCCCGAATTCTTCAATCATGAAAGTTCGTCTCCCAGAAGAAGACCATATAATCGAGTTAGTATTCTATATTTATAATAAGGTTTCAAATAAAATCACTCCATCCATAAATTTCTCCACTCAGATTTCACAAATTTCTAAAAAACTCACTTAACCAAGATCGAATCTCACAGACAAATCAGGTTCGTCCATTGAAATCCAAAAGGATATGGAAATCCTCCAGGATTCTAAGATATAAGTCTCTCAAAAATAGCATTGTCATACATAAAATTATTAGTTAAAATTGGAGACAAAATCTAAAGAAATCCAAACTGAGCTTGGTGATTTTAAAAAGAATGATTCCATCGAAAGAGTGCAAGAAGCTAAGGTAATAAAATGCATCCAATACCCATCCTTTTATTCCATCTACGGCAAAGGCAAAAAGGCAACCTCCAGAGATCAGCACTCCCTCTAAGTATGACTAATTCAATGAACCATTTAGAAAGTCTATTCCAACATCTTGGACGAATCAGGGTCACCCAAACACTCAAAGCCCTTGGATTGGTCAAAAATCAAAGTTCCATTGAGTAGCAATGAATGTTTAAAAGAGTATGGAGGCTACCTAACACAATTCGAAAAACAAGAAATCCAATCGTATAAGGATGTAAGATAGAATGATTGAATTAAATTTAGATTTACTGTATCGGATATTAAGCAAAAAAATAAAACAATTAGATGACGTCGTTCAATGAAGGATTTGATAATGAAAAAGGAGAATATCAAATTAATATAAGCGATCATATTGCATATCGATTCGAAGTGTTGGAAGTAATTGGGAAGGGGAGTTTTGGTTAAGCGCTTAAAGTATTTGATCATTAGAAAAATGTTGTTTCTTGTTTGAAGATAATTAGAAACAAAAAAAAGTTTTATAATTAATCCTTAATAGAAATTCAAATCTTAACATTCATTAAAGATAAGGATCCTGAAAACCTGACAAATATCATAAAGATTAAGGACTATTTTGTATTTAGAAATCATGTGGTAAAATTCTAATGCTAATTTTAAGTGTTTGAATTTTGAACTACTCTCAATGAATTTATATGACCTCATCAAATTAAACAACTTTTCAGGACTGCAATTAGAATTGATTAGAAGATTTGCTATTTAAATACTGAACTCATTGAGTTTTCTTTACAAACACAATATCATTCATTGTGACTTGAAACCAGAAAATATCCTACTCAAACATGCCAACAAGAGTGGCATCAAAATAATAGACTTTGGCAGCAGCTGTTTTGAAGATCAAAAGATATACACCTACATATAATCCCGATATTACAGAGCCCCAGAGGTCATCCTAGGAATTCCTTACAGTAAAAGCATTGATATGTGGAGTTTCGGATGCATTCTAGCCGAATTGTACCTAGGATTCCCTTTATTCCCTGGAGAAAATGAACAAGAATAAATTAGTTTCATTCTAGAAATGCTGGGTCCTCCAGATCCCGATATGCTTCAAGTATTCGATTGATTATAATTGAAAAGGGTGCTGAAAGGAGAAAATTGTTTTTCAAAGATTATCCCCCTTTTAAGCCGTTAATCTACTAAAATAAAAGAGGGAAAGTAAGACTGCCTGGAAGCAAAAACCTCAACAACATTCTAAGATGCAATGATAATTTGTTTGTTGACTTCTTATCTAAATGTTTGGTATGGAATCCAAAGAAAAGAATCAAACCTATCGAAGCGTTGATGCATGTATTCATTTTAGAAGGACTACCCAGTTAAATTAGACAACAGCATATTCAATATATTGAAAATGAGTATTAAACCTATTTATAGAAAAAAAATCCTTCATACTAGGGAGAGTAAGGAAAATAAATTTCAATGAATTTCACTTCAGAGCCAGAGATGTATCATAATCCTAAACTGAAAAGTTAAGTCTTAACTTAGAAATTTTCATACATAAAACAACACTCGTAAGAAAGAGAGGCTGAGAAAGAAGTAGAAAAAGAAACTCAAAATACATCCAAAAGATTGTCTTTATCCTTTCATTCGAATAAACACTCCAATTATAAACAACCTTTTCTATTTAATTTACATCCAGAAACAACTAAAAACTTAATTAAAAAAAAGATTAATTGATTCACATCATTTTTGTATTTAAATATTATATATAGATCAATAATGGAGTTGATCAATAAAGTTATGATTCGCAATATTAAATAGTCATTATTATCTATAATTTTATGAATAAATACATATATAAAATAATATTAATGATTATAAATAAATTTTTTGCTGCATTTTCACAACTCATTAGCAAAACCTCCCAAGTAGCAAAGCAATCTTTAACAAAATAAAATTTAATTCAATCTGAACCTATGAGATTAAGTAAATACTTGGCTTAAACAAGTGTATGCTCAAGAAGAGAAGCAGAAAAAATGATAGAATCTGGTATGATTTTGGTGGATGGCAAAAAAGTAGATAGCAACATACCAGTTACTTCTGAGAATAAAATACAAGTATTTACAAAAAATGGAGAAAGAATGCCAGTGAAGCAATCAACAGTAACCAGAATTTATTATTAAAGAAAGTATGGATTTTTTATAAACCAATTGGTATGATATGTTCTCACAATGATCCATTTAAAAGACCATCATTCTATGATTTTGCAAAGCTTAGATTAAAAACTGACTAGCATATTATTTCTGTGGGAAGATTAGATTTTAATTCAGAGGGACTAATAGTAGTGACAAACGACGGAGAGTTGGCTAGATGCATGGAACTACCCGAAACAAAGTTACAACGTATATATAGAGTAAGAGTTTATGGCACTTTTACAGAAGAGAAGCTGAAAAAGATTAGAAATGGTCTCACTATAGCTGGTGTAAATTATGGTCCTTATTGGGTTAATGTTGAAAATAGGTATAAAAAAAGTTTAAAATTAGATAGTCAAGAAACACTTGGTTAATTATGAGATTAGAATCAGGTAAAAATAGAGAAATCAGAAAAGTAATGTAGAAATTTGATTTGCGAGTTAATAGACTGATTAGATAAAGTTATGGTCCTTACAAGCTGATGGGTTTGAAACCAGGTGACTTTTATGAAGCTTAAATTGAGCCTGAAATAAAGAGAAAACTTTATCTTTAAGCTAGGAAAAAGTTATAGAATGTATAGGAATAGATTTAATTGGAATAAACAAAACTTAATATTAAAGCTTTAGATGAGTAAAGTAAGAATGAAAAATAGATTGAAAAATAAGAAAATGATTAGGTTCAGAAGAAGAACTTAATTGTAAATAAATTTAAGAAAGTTCAATAGAAAACAGCTTGATTTGTTTAATAAATTATATAAGCAATTATAAAGTTAATTGATATAGAATTATTCTAATAAGTGATCATGAAAATTTATACATAGAAAGTTGATTAGCTTTTATTGTTTCTATTTCAGAAAGTGCATTATCTAATCTTTCCCTTAATGCTTCCATTTCAATACTGCAAAGCACTTTTTCATAGTAATAATTCACTTTATTAAAGTCTTAATACTAATAATGCAATTTCTAATCTATATTTATAATTATGTACATGAATTTATTCCTATAAATTTTGTTTTTCTTTAGTTAAAGTTGTTACCTACTTTGTCAATTAGTTCATTGTTTCTTGGTTGTCATGTAATTCTTTATTTCTTAATTAGGATTAGTAGTTAAAATTATCGATTTCCTTTTATTACTATTACATTTTTTAATCTAATCGAATCTTTACTATAATTCAATAAAATACCTTTTATTATGATTATTAGGATAAATCATTTAATAGTTATTATCTTTCTTATTGAAACTATTATATTTCTCTCGACATTAGTTAAAACTTCTATGTAATATCATCTTAGAATTCTTATTCAAACTTTCCTTGCTTCATTCTTGCTTCAGTTAGTTCTTGTTCATAATTCTCTCTCATGGATTGCATTTATTATTGCATTTAATCATACTTTAATTAAAATTAAGAGAACTAAATATTTAATGACTTAATCTAATTATCTTTTTCTTGGGAGACAACTTAGGCTTAATTTAACTAATTGAGCATTTCCTATTCTTATATAGTTCTGGAGAGCTTGTCGTGATTCTTCTTCTCTTATAATTAATTATTCAGACGTTTATTGATAGAATTTAAATTGTCAATTTCATTTCGTTATTCTATAATTTTGGTTTCATATATCGAAATTTATGACTGTAGTATTTCTAATTGATTTTAAAGTTCATGGTTTTAGGTATCCAACTTTCGGACATCTATTCCTAATATTTCTAATTATGAATTTCTCATTTTTAAATCATCAATTTCATTTTCTCTTAAATTGATTATCTCTTTAAGTTTATCGAGTTCTTATTCATTAACAACCCTTTTTTTCATAATCTCTTATTATGTTCTCATTTCATCCATATCAATTTTGATTCTTTGATATAGATTAGTCATTCGTACCAATTCTTTTTAGGCTTAGTCCTTCTAAGCATTAGCATCAACAATTTAGGTCTTTAATTCAAATTAGTCCATCTCTAATTAATGGCATTTCTTCCTTGCTTTTTCAGTCTCCCTATTTGAATTATCCAATTCTCTTTACAAATGTTTGAGCTCATCATTTAATTCATTGGTTGTAACTTGATAAAATTGCTTCAATTGTTGTGATTAATTATGCATTTCCATTTTGTAATGGTTTTCCATATCCTACAATTATTTGACCTTGTCATTTTCACTAATGATAAACTTTTATTTCCATGAATCGCTCTCATTTCTAATTACTCGAATTCTGTCTTCTACTTCTCTGTAAAATCGATCATCGCTTTTTGCTGAAAGTGTTTCTTGGGATTGGGATTATGGGACTTAAAATTCAGCCACAGATGTTTATAATTTCAAATCTTTTTGCTAAGGGAAAGTTTAGATATTTTAAATTTGTTAGATAACCTATTGGGGAATCGGATTGATGGGAGATTATACTGTTCGATAGACAGTTTAACCTGATGGTGGTGCAACATGAGTAGGCGACATGTTTAATCTAAAGTTATTTGCATTAACAATCTATTCATTAACAGGGACATGAACTGCTTCATACACAAGTGGTTTCAATATTGCTTTCTATTATTGTTATTATTTTTATTATTGTTATTATTAAGGTTGAGATGAAAAGGAATCTTTGTTCGATTGATATGCATTCGGGGAAATTGATCTCATTAATTATTTTATTATTAATTTTATTAACACATTTAAGAAACTAATAATTTATAAAATACAATAAAGCAAATTGTAAATTATTTGTTTGTTTAATAAATATTATAATGTCTCTTTCTTCAAGCGATCAATAGGGAATATACGATTCTGGTGAGCTTTCATATCCTAAATCTCCCAAATCCAAAAAGATCAAGAAATGTGAATCACTTTCTCCCAAAAAGAATTCTGGCCATTGGACTCAAGAGGAACATTAAAAATATTTGAAATTCCTTGAGGATCATGCACATATCAAGAAAAACAATAAAATATTTAAACCTATGAGTGATGTCATTGGAACTCGATCACCTAGTCAGTGCAGGTAAAAATAGTGTTATTGTAGATCTCACCATCAAAAGTTCAATCCCTTCTCCCCAATAGTTCAGAAGAAAAATCTCAAAGCTCAACAAAGAACACAATTTACTATACCCCCCCCAATGGAAGATTCCTATCAATACAAAGAAGAGGAGTGTCTGAATCGCAGATTGGTCCAATTAATGATTTTTGATGAAGAAGAATAATTCGATGAACCTTAATAATTTAATTTAGATGATTTCTTCTGAAATGCATTTATGGTATATACATAAAACCTTCTATTTGGATAATGCATTTAATTATATCTCTAATTACTATTTATCATATAAATATTAACGCAGTCTATCTAGATTATCCAATACTCAAAATTGTTGTTGTCTTGAAATTAATTTGTAAACTACTAACAATAAATTTCTCATTATATTTTAATTTAACAGAATTATTTAGGAATCAGGCTTCTTTTTACAATACCCTAATCCCAAACTATCATTTCAACCACTATATTTTGTACAAATTAATGAACTTAGAAACTCAAACTTTTTACTTTGAAACAAGTTAATCAATTATTTAATCAATATATTTAAAAATAAATGAATTGATTGAAATCATTCAAAAAAAGAAACCTCAATTATTGAAACACTGAAAGAATACAGAGAAGAACTTTTTATAACAAAAACTATTAAATATGTTAAAGCCTGATGAGAATCTACTAATTTATACTTAACTTTGTACTTGAAAGATAAAGAAGTTTTAAAAAGCGATTGAAAATTTAAATATGGAAATCAATATCATCAACATATGCTTCAGATGAGAATTTATAATGATCTTTTTAGGATAATAATGTAAATAAACAAAAGATATAGATTATTCTTATCATCAATAGATAGATGAAATCTAAATGTAAATTATAAAGAATAATGGATAAATAAATAGTATTATTAAAAGAGTTGAAAGAATAGAAGGCTTTACTTCAAACTCAAAAACGGAAGAGTTTTAAATAAACAAAATAGAATTGCTTTTGCAATTATTAAATTTAAAATTATTTTGCTATAACTTGAAAATATAATTTAGAGAACAGTATTACCTCATTCTTAATGACTATGGTGAGATCTTCAAGTAGTAATAGATAAATGGAAAGAAATTATTGATTAAAATTTTGTATCCCCAAATAAAAGAAGTGATTCTATTGATGCGATCAAGAAAACTTAAAAGATCAAAAATGCAAGGTTGTAGTCTTAGACGCCAAAAGTTTCATATTTTGGATCTTGAAAATTTCTATTCCAATCCAAAGCCCAAGATTTGAGGTAGCCATGAATCCTTAGGATGCATATGATTCTATTAAAAATCCTATTTAAATTGCAAAAAAACCATTTTCTGAATGAAATTACTATTAATTAAGCTTCAATTAGAATCAGAGATTTTCATTTAATGGCATTTTAATAGTTGAATGGATGCACCAAAATGTATGATCCGGTAAAGAAGATCCTATCAAATATGTTTATAGATGTTATAGAATTGATAATCAATTTAATGTAAGAAATTGATTTATTTAAAGATCTTCAGCTCTGAAGAGAATGAGGATATGAATTAAGACTCCAAGTTTCATAACTTATGATAAAATGAGATTTTATGATGATTATAGCCAAAATGCTTTAATTTGAGGACTATTTGTGAACCTTTAATGAGAGGAATCATTAGCATAGTTTGGCCTAAAGACACATAAATATGCAACATCTGTCATTCAAATTATAGGGAAACTCAGTCTTAGTTAATGGTTTATGTTTAAAAGAACAAGACTTAATTAAATTATAACCATTATTCAAATAGCTAATATATTATTAAACGATTATCAAATTACGTGTCCAGATTATTATTTTTTTTTAATAATAATATTTTTATATATATGGTTCTTGCGGAACTCGGAAAATCAATTAATGCAGCACTTTAAAAACTCAGTAAGGCCCCAGTAGTAGATGAGGCACTAGTAGACTAAATATTGGGTGAAATAGCAATGGCTTTGTTAAAAGCAGATGTTAATGCTAAATTTATAAAAAAACTAAGAGAAGATGTTAAGATGGAATTCAAACTATGTGAGGAAGAGAATATTAATCATTAAAAATTGATTCAGAAAGCAGTTGTCGATGGATTAACAAGAATGCTTGAGAGTGATAGAAAACCATTTTAACCTAAGAAGGGTAATTATAATACAATATAAATAGGAAAATAAAATGTTATCATGTTTGTTGGTTTATAAGGATCAGGTAAGACAACCACTTGTACTAAATACGCATATTATTACTAAAAGAAAGGATGGAAAGTAGCCTTAGTTTGTGCTGATACATTCAGAGCAGGAGCCTTTGATTAATTAAAGTAGAATGCCACTAAAGTCAGAGTTCCATTTTATGGGTATGAATAATATCGAAACTAGATCTTATACTGAAGCTGATCCTGTATAGATTGCATAAGAGGGTGTTAATGTGTTTAAGAAGGAAGCATTTGAAATAATCATAGTGGATACTTCAGGAAGACACAAATAAGAAAATGACTTGTTTGAAGAAATGAAGTAAGTAGAAGCTGCAGTAAAGCCAGATGATATAGTCTTTGTTATGGATTCCTCAATAGGTTAAGCCTGTTTTGATTAAGCCTTGGCATTTAAGAAAGCTGTCAATGTCGGATCTGTTATTATAACAAAGTTGGATGGTCATGCAAAAGGTGGTGGTGCTTTGTCAGCAGTAGCAGCTACAGAATCTCCTATTGTATTCATAGGAGAAGGTGAGCATTTTGATGATTTGGAATCTTTTGAAGCCTCCTCTTTTGTTAGAAGACTGCTAGGCTTAGGAGATATAAATAAATTATTTTAATCTGTTAAGGATGTTGTGAATATGAGAGATCAACCATAATTAATATAAAAATTAAAGGAAGGTAAATTTTCAATAAGGGATTTGTAAACATAATTCAATTCTGTCCTTAAATTAGGATCCTTAAATTAATTTATGTCTGCTATTCCAGGAATGGGCAGTTCAGTTTTATCAAAAGGAAATGAGAAAGAATCAATAAAAAGAATTTAGAGATTTTTGTGCATTATGAATTCTATGACAGCTGATGAATTGGATGGTGAAGGTACATAATTTTATCAATTTAGGCAATTTAAATTTTTGTAGAATTGTTCGAATTGCCAAAGGATCAGGTACATCTATAGAAGAAGTTCACATCTTATTAGATGAACATAAGAAATTGTCTAAAGTAGTTGGAAATTTAGCTAAAACTAATTTAGGAGGAAAAAGTATAAGATAATAATAATTTTATAGGAGGAAATGAATTTGAACAACTCAAAAGAAATCCATAATAAATGATGTAAAAGATGAAAGGGGCTATTGATCCAAGTATGCTCTAAAAATTAGGAGGAATGGATAATGTTATGAATATGATGAAATAAATGGGTTAAATGGATGGAATTTAAGATTTGATGAAATAAATGGGAGGAATGGGAGGTATGCCAGGAAAAGCAAAAAGAAGATGATCTAAGATTAATAAACATTGTATTTTTAACAATTTTATTTTCACATTTCAAATAATTATTATTTGTATGCGAGTTACTTATTTATTTGATTAAGAATTGGTGTAATTATAGGGAATAGTTCATAACTGTAATTAATTGATTATCATATGATTTATTCGAAACTACCCATAAATACATAAATTTCAGGTGTAATAGCTTTTCTTTATAGAGATTTTAATTAATTTCAATCAATTATATATTTATAACAATAAATAATGCAGGATTTTCAATAGACTCTTGATGAAAATCAAAATTTAGCGGAAGCTTTGTAAACTTAATAAAATATTAAGTAAATTATATAACTCAGAGAAGGTATCAAAACATATAATATAGAAATAAAATAGCAGGAAGAGAATTTTATGTAAAATTAGCAAATACTAAAAAATGAAGAAATTAGCAATAAAAAAATACTTTTAGCAATAATAATTATTTTATTAATAACAAATATTTTGTTGTTATTATATAAACTAAAAAGACATTGAATTTTGATCTAACTTTTCTTTTAATTTTATTACAATATTTGTTCTTTATTAAGCCCTCTATGCTTCTTACCTAACCTTTAATAATTGTTGTGCTAAAATTGTAACTCTGAATGCTTCTTTATTAATGTTATGATAATTAATCTAATTCAACTTTAATCTATATACTGTTATGCTTTGAGAAATTTAATCCTTGAAATTCCTTTATTTTAATGCAGAATATTGAGTACCATTTTTAATTCTTTAATGCTCAATAATTTTTGATAAAGCATACTTTGTTTTGAAATTCATGTTTAGAAATTTCAACGTCAAATTTCTTAATATAATTAGTTTATTCTAAAGTAGATGGATAACGATGTTATTTTGAAAATATATTAATTTTAGGATTTCAAATAATAAGTCTTTTAATTCTCTAGAAATTTGTAATTGAAAAATCAATGAAATATAAATTTATAACAATTTAAGTTATTACATTTTATTTGGTGCTTTAATTTTTGATTTTTTTTTATTTCCTACCATTTATATTATTAAAGTTAAGAAGCAAAGCAAAGAATTAACCCAAATATGAAATTTTTATATACATTTATATATTTTTTCTTCATACAAAGTTTGATTATTGGATATTAATCTAAAAACAGAAAATTAAAATTTTAATATAATTTTAGGTATTTTGAGTTCAAAAGACTGGGATTTAGCAAAAAAAATAAATATCATTTGATTCAATAAAGTGATTTATTCGAAATAACACTATCTATCTCCTCACATTCATAAAGTTATGACTTTTAAAATTTATTTCCTTCTTATTATAATAATGAAATCACTTATTGACTCTAAATACTTTAATTTGTGCTTGCAAAACTTATTTAAGTTTTTCGTTTCTCCAGTAGAGTATTAATTTATATTGAAACCTATGAGCTTTTAAGTATTATATCTGGAGTATTATCAGAAAAGTCTTTTTCAATTTCCAATTAAGTGAAAGCTCTACGCTTATTTTGATTTCTTAAGTTGGAAAAGTATCGATCTTGCTTTGCTTTTGGATCTGTTTTCATTTTGATATTCAATGAGCTCAAATAATCAACTATGGATAACTCAATTTGGAGATTTTTTTTTTTAAATTCATTAACTTCTTGATATTCTCTAATGTTCAATTCTAATGATCTTCCTGAATAGCCTCCATAGTAATCCTCTTATGGATCTATATTAATGCTTGACTAAGATATTCGAGAAAGATTAAGCTCTTTTAAATTAACTGGTTATTACTTTTATTCGAGTTCCATAAAAATATATTTTATTAATGTTTTGATGTCAGAAAATATCTGAAATATCAATTAAGCACAAGTAACATTAGATTTATGAAAATGTAACAATACTAGTATATCAATATTACATCAGATATTTGTTTAATTATACTTCGATTAAATATTTATTCCAAAATTATTGCTTTATGTTCAATAGTATGATGATAATACGTAAAAGTAATAAAATATAAGATTAACACCTAAAATAAGGAAACTTCTTCATTAATAGTTAGTTTTAAATTTTTTCAAATCCAATTAGAATAATATTTTTTATTATATCATTCTTCTATGATGCCATTTGAATAAAAGGTATTGCTAAAAGAATTTTCTAGTAATTAAAGTAGTTCTATCTCCCTTAGATGAGAGATGCCAAGCATCTTTAAACAAAAAAATTGTACTGAAATTTTATTTATTTTAAAAAACCGAAAAAATAATTACTATGAATTATTTTTATACTAATTATAAACCTGAATATCTTAAGGAGTTTATTTCGATTTTTTTGATATTCTCAAATTTATAAAGAGTTCCAGTATACCAAAGGCTAAAAAAATCATTAAATATAGTAGGCTATTATTCTGTTTGTGAAATATAATTGTATTTAATTTTCAGATTGCCCTACATCAAAAGAATTTGATATCCATGAATTATAAAAAAATCATTAGTGGCTCTTAATAATAATTTACAGTAATAGTTAACTATCTTTTGAATTTTAAATATAAGTATTGTGTCAAACTTCTTTATATAAAAAAATTATGACTCATAATACTTACAATAAAAATCCAAAAAAAGTTAAATTTAATTTAAAGGTAAGCTTTTACTCATGCTTCTCCAATATTTGATGAGTAAAACACACTTATGAAAAGAAATTAATTTTCGAAAATAATAAAATCATTAGATTATTATTATAATTTAATTTCCATGACTTTAGAGTTTAAGCTAAATAATATAAAATGACCAGCCAAATAGTAGCATATTATACTAAACTCTTTAGTCAATTAATGTTATTCTCACATTGTAAGTGTCATTGCTTTCTTATAATTTAAATTCACAGTTTATCATAACCACAGGTAATTTACAACAATTATATGGTAAATTTTATCTAAGCAATGATTGGTAATTAAAGTTTACAATTTGAAAGGAAATTCATATAAATTCAAGAGGATTAAATAAGTTATGTTATCATCAATTTAAGTCATTGAAATCTTACACCTGTAAATTGAATTGAAATGATCTCGTGTTGATGAAAGTTCTTAGTTCACCATAAATGCACAACTGTTTATGAAAATCTTGCACAAATTTGAAAAAAGCTAATCGGAAGAAAAATTATTAATTAAATTATCACCCACTTCTTATTATTTTTCTATATCACTTACTCTGATGATTTAAATAGAAATAACCTAGATTCCTTTAAAGATAGGGTATTATTTGAACATTTTCTAAAGTAGTGATTAAGGAAAATACAAGTCTCCTTAAAATGAGTGAAACTCATGAAAAAAGAAGGTAAGTTTAATGTTAACTATTTTTCAGACTACTTAAATCAAGTATGCAGATTTATCTAGGTTTATTAATTATTAATTATTATCAAGTCGAAATTAAAAAAAATCGATCATATAATATAGTTTCTTAAAAGCGAATATTATCAAATTAAAGAATCCTATTTATTTAATAGAGAGCAAGCAATGATTTCTTCATTTTGAATGTTTATTTAATATTTTGTTATTATTTATAATCAAGAAATTAACAATTTTAATTAAAAGGTTTTTAAAAGCCTAGTAGTTAGTATTTCAATGCTTTTGGTTTTTTAATTCAATTTTATTATTTATGGATATATAATATATGAGGAGTTACAATTTCTTAACAGCTGAAAGGAATAAATGCTAGCGTAAAGTTGTAAATTATTATTTAGAGGTATATGCAAGATGCTGATGAGTTTTAGGGGGACATTTATAAATGATATAATGATATAATAATGATAGTATAACAAAATATGTTTTCTATTATTCACAATACTAGTATATAAGTAATTGAATTTAAAAAATAAATTGAAGTATTTAAAGTGTTTAAAATAATGCAAGAATTTGTCGAATTAATTTAGGCAGCATTTTTCGCAAAAGAAAATAATTAACGTAGTTAAGCAGAGTAGTAGCTTGTGAATTTGAAGCATTAATTACCAAATGAGTTTTTTTAGAAGTGCAGCAATGCATTTATATCTCCTTAATTGGATTCTCAGACCAGAGTAGCAGCAGGAACATTACTATAGAGATGTATAACTTATGAGTAAGGATGGTTAACAATTGGATTGGATGTGAAGAGAAAAATCAAAGATGAGTTGCTTTCTCAACTAATTTCTAGTGATTAAAATATAAAAAAGTCAGCTGCAAGCGTAATTATTCAATAATAACAACATAGTGCTTATCAGGAATATGTGCAATAGAATTACCAAGATAGGAGTGGCCTGAAATCATCAGCATTTTAGTATAGAATACTAGACATGATTCAATAGAAGTAAAAAAAGCGGCAACTATAACTCTTGGTTATATTTGTGAGGCCTTGAAAAACCAGAAGTAATCGATAGAGAAGACTGAGAGCGAAAAAGTGCTGTATGGAATATGCATGGGATTGCAAGGAGAGAAGGAAATCAAGTTGATATCAATCAGAGCTTTGAAGGACAGCTTGTAATTTATGGATCAAGTATTGGCACAATAATAGGTCAGAGATCATGTGACTAAGTTGTTGGTTGAATAGTTGATATCTCAAGATGCTGAAATAAGATTAGCAGCATTAGAATGCTTGATTGACTACACCAAAGCAATATTCGATTATTTAGGTAAGAATTTTAAAATATAAAATTTAGAATAATATATTTTGGTTTTATGGAATTGCACTCAAGAGAGCATTCAACATTAGGATTTCGCAGTTGTTACTATGGAAATATGGTAGAGTGTTGCATCTGAAATAAATGAGAGATCAGCTGTAAGTAATAGGACTAATTTGGGATTCAGGAAAACCTAAAAGGAAGCATTGCAAATAATATCATAATAATTGATCGTGGCAGTTCTTAAGAACTTGCTTGTCTCTGATGAGGATGAGGAGGATGATGAAGAGTAAGGAATTTAAGAGGCAGCATATAAGGCAGCATCTTCAATCAGTGAGGCTTTGGGAAGTCTAAGTTATCAACTGTACTTGAGATTTATTGAGAGTAATTGAATTATCCAATGTATTTTAGATACACTTCAAGCACAAGAATGGCAGAATAGAAAGGCTTCGTTATTAACATTTTCTTCAATGGTTGAGACAGCTGATGTTTCAGAATTATTCTAATATTCTACTTCTGCAATTGGTGAATTTATCAAGAAATTGGCTGATCCTCACAAATAGGTGAGATATGCTGCTGGTAGAGTGATCACAAGAATTGCTGAAAATTACCCATAAGTTATTTTGAAGCATCAATATGCTGATGATTACATTAATTAATTTTCATAATTTTTGTAAGGAAATAATAAATTGACAAAATATTTGTTATGGACTCTTGTTAACCTCACAGAAGCATTCAGAGATGACCCCGTAAATTAATTTGGCAAATACTATGAATTTCTCATTTCCTAATTTGCAACAGTGATTGGGAGATAAGATTTTTCGGATGGAACTCTATTAGACATAGCTTGGGTAGGCATCATAAATTGTTTACAATGTGTAAAAGAGCCTTAAAAGATCAAGACATATTTAGAAGCTTTTGGTCAATAAATGCTTACTGTCTATTCATAAATGAGATGGTAAAAGGAAGCCAATATTTCTGGATTACTATCAGCAATTCACATTTGTTTCTTAAGATTAGTAGTGTTGGGTGATCAATGTGATATCCAATTGATGAATAACTTTTACCAACTTATAGTTGACTACTTTAAAAAGATCTAAACTGTCACTTAAGATGGTTTCTATGCCATCAGTGCTATTGCTCAATGTAATTAGATATAAAATATTACATAGATAGCAAGATTAATTTTAAATAACTTTTAGATGATTTTATGCAAAATTACTTGGAAATTGGTTTGTAAAAGAAATTAGAGATTGAGACATTCAAAGGAGCCATTTTGTGTTTGGCTGACATTGCTAGATCCCTTCAATTTAAAGAGTTCAGCAAATACTTACGCATTCTAGAGTATCTAATTGCTTGTGTTAATGTACTTGATTGTATATTATTCCTTAGGACTAATAAGTGAACAGAGTGGCCAAGATTGCTTTGTTCGTTTGCATAGCTGACATAGTTCTGATAGCAGAACAAGAGGCTGAACCCTACTTTTAGGCTATTTGGCAATTAGTAAAGAGTGGATTCAGTGCTTCGATCTACTTCACGTAGAATAAGGACATGACACAATTGGAATATTATGAAAATCTTAATGATGCACTCTTGAATTGTTATTTATGCATGTTACATGCATTCAACTTGAATAAAGTACCCTACATACCACTCTATCAAACCATACAAGAATTGTGCATGTTCATTTAAGCTACATCTGACAAGTCATTGACACCCACAGTGGTATTGATTATTGTTAGCAACCATAGGAATACATTCGTCTTTGTGTGACTTGTCTACTGGATTGTGTGTCCTATTATAAGCAAGTAAAGGGATAAGAGAATATGTCCTAAAAAATACTCACCAGTCCTCTTCTCATCAGCCTATTGGATATGTTAAAACAATATTCAAACTAATAAGAAAATCAATAATTAATTATGTATGCTAATGATTTGTGCAAATCATTCCAATTGCCTTAATATTTGAATTGAGATCATCATTATATATTATTATCTTTAATTGAGATGTGTTGTATTCGTGCTGACAAAGTAGAATGCTCTATTAATCTATAATATAATTTATATGCTCATTAGTATTCATTGGTAATTTTTAAATATTTTTCAAAAAAATACATAATGAAAGGAGGTAAATAATAAAAGAACAAATCAATCTGGGATCAAGTCAAAAACGAAGAAAAGGACTTCTATTTCAACTTTTTGGCTAAAAAATAAAGGAATCTCTAGAAGAAACTCAAAGACATTGCTGACCTTGAAGAATTACAAAAAACCAAAGAATTGAAGCAAGAATAGATCTAGAAGATTCAAGGCAAAGAAGAAAACAACGAAAGACTCAAAGAATTAGAAGGTACTCTCTCGAATTGGCTCAACGCCAAGAAAGAAGCCGAACAATAAGGATCTATAATCACCATTGAAGCATACATAATAATCCTTCAACATCTCGCCCAAGATCCCCAATTAGTCGCTCTTTTAACCTAAGACCATGAATCAACCCACGAACTAGCTAAAAAGTTGTAATCTAAAATAGTTGGATAATCAGCCAAAACAGATCAACCATGGAAAGGATTGAAAGTATTTTAATTATAACTATCTGTAGTTTGAAATCCATACATAGGAATTAGAACATGAACATAAACAAACCTAATAAATACATGAAACAGAACACATTCAACAATAATAAGTTCAACAAGTAATCTAACCTTAAGAATAACATGTCTAATCAAAATAAACACCATCAGAGGAAGTATAAGTTCAATCAAAACCAATTGAACAACCTGAAGTCCAAGAAACTGAAGAAAAATAATAATTCAGTGAATAACAACCATAGAATGAACAAATCTAAGATGACTATTCAAATGAAGCCCAATAATCCAACCAAGATGAATAATCTTAAACTAGAGAAGGTTAAAGACATCATTAACATCACGATGACAGAAGAAATTACAAGAAGAATTATAATAATAATAATAATTATGATAGAAGAAACAATTATGACAGACCATACAGAGGAAACAAATAACATTATCACAACAGAGACAGAAATTATCAATAAGAACAAATTTGGGAAGAAAAAGCAGACAGACAACCTCCTTAAAATTAAGAAGAGTAATAACAAGAAGAAGATGATTACATAACTGTTAGAAGCAAGTATCATTTACTATTATTCCATTTAGAAAACCATAAAAACCATAGAGAGGAGGATAGAGAAATTATGACAACAGAAACAATAACAGAAATTATGACAACAACCCATAAAGAAGATAGAAAAACAATGAGGAAGTTGATTAATGAGAGTATTTTAAAATATATATATATTATATCTATCATATTGATATTTACAGTTATTCCATTAATTATTATCTTTCTCTAAGAATCTATTCAACCAAGTTTTAGTATTTTAGACAAATTTAATTTTTTAATACTCCTATTTCTTTTGAATAAACAGTTAAATTTTCATTTATCTTATTAAAACTATTGGAATCTTAATTTTATAATGAAGTTTAAAGAGTCATTGATACCTCACTCACGTGTTTGTAATCTGGAAATTGCAATTTTGCTCCTGATTAATTATAAATATGCTAAAGTAATTTATTCGACAAAATAATAAAATCCTATAAATATTTAATTAATTCTCTTAAATTTTAACACAGAGTATTAATTTAGTCAGCTTCAGATTTTTATTATATTATTTGTATTTGCTATTTTAGTGAATCAATAATATCATCCTAGTTTTCTTTTTCTTATTAAAGCAATTAAAACTACTCATATAGACCATCATAAGAATTTTATTATTCTTCAATTTTCTTAATTTATTAACTTTATACTTCCTATAATTCTTCTATTTTCTTAAGTTATTAACTTTATAGTTCCTCTTATTCTTAAAATTGTCTTTATTGAAAACTTATATCCTATTCATATTATTGGTTTTATTAAATTATTTCTTGTATTTTCTGAATTACTAAAGATACTTATTCAACTTTGGGTTGGTCATTAAAATTTTTAATATCAAAGGTAATGTTTGAAGCCAGATCATCAAAGTTTTGATAATATTCCTGTAAAGTGAAATTCAACTAAGCATTGGTTTCTTAGAGGTTTTAGATGGTATTTTAATGCATCTCTCTTAACCTATAATAATGGACAATTAATTCCATGCTTTAATCATACTCTTGAAATTTAGTGTTTTCAATGTTTTCTATGTCCTACTTGATAATATCCAAGAGCAACGAGTATTCCTCACTTTATTTTTGAAATATATTGGTATCAAATGGTTTTTCAATTAAATTCGAAGTCTCATTTTTTTTTGTTGGTTTTAAATTAAAATGAGTAATTGATGGAGGAGCCTCGGATCTGGTTCTCTTATGTTTACCCCCACTACTAAAAGGCATTTATTGGTTTTAGAATTCAACAATCTAGTCTGATGCATCAATTACAAATTATTGATATTTATCCTATAATTCTTGAAGATTTGATTTTAAATCACTGAAGGTTTCATGAAAAGACTAATTATTAAGATCCAATTCTAGTTTTGCAAGGGTGTCTTTAATTTGTTGGAAGTAACAAAAATCTTATTTGACACTTTAATTGTTCAAACTAAAACTTGGTTCATTGTTTTTATATTGTTAATCTGCATAATTGATGATTGATATGTATTCTGCTTTGATAGTATTTATTTCTTATGGCTTTTGTTATGATTATTAGAAGGAGGGTGAAACTTGAAATGAATCTGGATAGTGCATGTCAGCATCATCTTTCGATGGTGTTTATTATGATATCCCAGATAGTAGATTTTCATCCATATAGGTGTTGTCATTTTCAAATTCCATTTAAATATTTATATTTGAGCAATTTATTTAATGAAACATACTCAGTTAAAATTAATTTTGAATATTATATTAAAAATAGTGAGAGAAGGTAAATAGCTTAGAAAGAAAGACTTATTAACTAAATATATTAACCTATTAACAAATCAATCCCTCTTCTTCTTGAGATACTCCTCCCTCTCCTTTTGCTCTAATGATTTTCTATATAACTCTAACCTTACTCTTTTAGCTTCCGATTTATCCTTCTTCTCTTACTTATTCCCGTAAATGCATAAAGATGTCAAAACCACTATAAAGGCCACAACCACATATACAGGAACCTATGTGATGTTACGAATGCAATACCATTTTCAATGAGAATATTCTTCTTAGCCATTTTTTGAAGTGATCAATTTCCTTAGGAGTGTCATAAGGTTCTAGATGCAGATATTTCTTTTCATCAACAAATTGAGTGAAATTGCCGATGTTAGTAGATTCTATCGATTTAATAGAGATTTTACCGTTGAAGAAATACATCCTGTTGTCGGTATCGAAAAAAACGAAGGTTGGATATTTGGTTACACCAATCCTATCACCGATAAGTTCTTGATTATATCTTTATTAAAGATTATTGATACGTGTCGATTGCACCAATATTTATTGTCCCATTATAGATAGTTACCATTTCTTCCCAAATCTTAACAATTCTATGACAACCCTTACACCATGGAGCCCAAAAGAAGATAAACCATGGCTTTTCTAATCCTTCATTGCCTAAATGAGTAATAGCGTCCCAATTATTGTCATTTAGCATAATCACAGGTGTCTATTTTGGGAATTCCAAATCTGGCATATCCTAAGAGCTACACAGAACCAATATCACAAAAAGAAGCTTAAATTTCATTATTTTATTTTATTATTTCTAAATAATATATATCATTCTCTTGTTGCAACAAAATAATTATTTGCTTATTCTTTGGCATTGTTGGTCCAAGCAATCTATCAATTATTTATTATTATTTTCTTACTTCAGCTATTAATACAGTGCCAGCTAAAGCCAAACAGATTGGGGCAGCATAAGTGACTCTTTTGGGTGTATATACTGGAGCATAATGCTCAATGTATGATAATCTTGGAGCCTTTGTGTAAATCAAATGGCTAACATAATATTAATGTTCATATACTCTAAATATTAAACTGATCTCCCAAGAAATGATTTATTTGTAATGTTGGTGAATGTCAAGCCAGTAGATGTCACTGCTGAGCAAATTGATTTGTAGAGCTTGAATGAGTTTGGATTCATTATTATTTAGATATTTTTATTAATGCCATTATTTATTCATCATATTTAATTAATAATTTATGGACTTGTTTCTTCTATTTTTGTTCTCAATTCATTCTTAAGCTCCTCTTCTTGTCTCTAAGCATATGTAAATTTAAATTTACTGGGATTCCTTGGTAATTCTCTTTTTGTTTTCTAAAAATTGTGTGTTAGTTACACTAAACTAGAATCGACATATTAATATTATCCCTTAGTATGAACATAGTATTTGGATATTTTATAAACTATATATATTGTAAGATTTCAATAATTTCATACACTATCTAAAATTAGATTAATGTATAAAATTCAGTTCTATTTATCAATTCTTAATGTTTCTTACTAAGATATATTAAACAGTTATACTAACAAATCGTTTTTAATTAGATAAGTTGAAAATATATCAACAAATAAATTGATAGCTTTTAAGCTTGGAAATTTAATAATTGATTTTATCACAAAAAATATTATGTTCTAAAGAGGTGAATTTATACTTAAATTAATCTAATTGTTAAGATAAACTATTTCGGTTATTAAAAATTATACTTTTTGATTTTCTGTTTATATGTACCAATAAATTATAGGTAATAATAATAATTAATAAATTAGAATTTATCGTGATTTATTTATTATATTGATATATAATTTAATAAATATCTTTCAATGTCTTTTCCATAAGGAATTCCAATGAATGCTGTTTATAAGCAAGTAGTTATGGAGCATAAAGAAGATGATAGAGTGGAGCAACTGGAGGCACAAATTTATAACATGGAAAAAGATCATAGCATGTGGAGAAAGAAGTATTTTGAGCTTGAATCATTATACGATAAGTGTCGATATGCTGCTGAAAAAGTAAGCATTTAGTTATTAACTTTAGTCAGTCTAATTAGAAGATAGAATCAATCTATTGAGATAGGACAATTCACAAATATCTTCCTTGCTTAGAGAAAAAGCTACAGAATGCGAAAAAATGAGAGTGAGATTGACGCAATTGGAAAATGAAAATTTTGAGTTAAATACAGTTAGATTGTAAGTAACCAAATTCAATGATCTTCTGTAATAAAAGTCCTAAGATATCGAGCTATTAAGAAAGAAAAACTCAGAAATCTATGCTAGAGTAATTGAATTAGAAGGAAATGAATTAGTTATAAGAGATTACAAGTCTTAAGTAAACAGTTTGACAAAGGATTTAGATGTTTGGAAAAAGTTGTATGAGGATTAGTAACAGGAAAGAGTCAAGCTTCTGGAAATCATCAGATAATTTGAGTAAAACAATCCTTTAACAGGATCAACTAAATCATCCTAATAATAGGTTAGTGAAGTTATTGAAAGAAGAGTTGTCACCACTTCAGAAACGACTAATAATACTCAATAATTATAATCATAGCTTTTATAAAACCAAGCAACCATATCTGATCTAGAGGATAGACTAGGATTCTCAGAGAAGTAATACGATAAATTGAAGTAAGAATTAGAAGGCAGGATTAAATTGAATAATGAACTTAAAATTAAGTAATATCATAATTTAATTATAGAATAACATAGTAAGAATGCGAATTAAAGAATATAAATTATTTGAAATTAGATAATCAAAAATTAAAGGATCAACTTGATTAAACTAAAAGAGAACTAGATTAATTTAGAAAATAATATTATGCGACTTTAAGTAAATTATAGATTGCTGAATAATAACTCAATGAATTATACAATCTAGAAAACAGACTCTAATTACTATAATAAGAGAGAGACACCTTAAAAAAATCATTAAAATAAAAAAATGAAGACATTGGATAATTGTAAGACAAGGTTTCTTCATTGTTATCCTAAATAGAATAATTGAGACTTAATGATTAAGCAAGAAATGCTGCTGAAAATGAGGTTATCTAACTCAAAACTGAATTAAGCAAACTCTAAGCTAATCTTAAATAGAAAGAATAAACGATCTCAGATTTACATGGAAGATTAAATGACTTATAAAAACAATTAACTAATGCTCAATCTGATTTTAAGAGATTGTAAGCTAAGGATTACTCAGGATTATAGGATCAAGCAAAATTAGTTAATGAATTATAGTAAAAACTACTTTAATTGAGCTAAGATAATTCTAAATTCTAAAGTTAAGCATTCAATTTGGAATCTAAGAACAATACACAAGTTCAAGATATTTAAAGATTGAATTCTTTATTGTAGGTCAAAACCTAAGAGCTCTCAGATGCAAATAAGAAAATTTATGATTTAGAAAATGATAAAACAATTCCTGATCTTAAGTTTTAGAACTCCTAATTAATTGCTGAATTGAGAGAATAAGAAACTGAGAATAAAGGTTTGCAAGAGAAATTACAAATCTTGGAAAATTAAATCATTCAAGTAAATACTAAATTGACTACTGCTGAAGCTTAGGCCAATTGCAATTTGAATGAGAAGAATAAGGTTGATTAATTGTTGACTTCCTATTTGCTTCAGTTATCGTAATTAGAAAAAGAGTACTATATTAATTTAATCCTTTTAGAGTAGATCAACTCAGAGTCATAGCCCAATAAGTAGCATAGTAGAGTGCCATAAATAAATAATAAGAATAACTCGTATAAGCATTATAGAAATAATTAAAAGACTAAACCAGCTAATTCAATGAATTGAGTAAAGAGAATGAGAAATTATATGTTGATAATTCTCAACTATCTACTCGAATTTCGTAATTAAGCGAATTGCCAAACAAAATCTAAATTTTGGATGAGGGACTTTAGAAACTTTAATAAGATTATAATAATGAATTATAAGCCAATGAGACTCTAAATAAACAATTGAATGATGCATTAAAAGTAAAGAATGATTTAGAAAATAAAATAGCTATGTTATCAACTGAAGTTGAAAGATTTTAGTATAAATTAAATAGCAGATAAAATGAGGCTGAGTAATTAAAGAAAAAAATCGTAGAATTGGAAACATAAATTGCTTTACTGAAATAATTTGAATCAGATAATTAAGTGCTTGCTGATAAAATTTCTCATCTCGAATAACAATTAATCGATGAAGCCAATAAGAACTTAGAACATCTATTAAGAGTTAGTTAAGATGAAACAAAATAATACATTTTGGATAATAATAAACTTAAATAACAATTAGATTAAAGGGAGCAAGAAAATAAGTAAAAGGATGAATCGTATAAATAATTAGAATAAAAATATTAATAACTTCAAAGTTCGAATAAGAATTTAGAAGCTTAGAATACTCAAATTGCTGAATTATAAAATGTAATTGCTGGTTAAGAGAATGATATTCAAAAATTCTAAGATCTCATTGAAGAATTAAGAGATAAAAACAACGATCTAGTAGCAGAGTATTATTTTATTATGATTATTTAGTTCTCAAAAATTATAAATTGAATTGACTTAATAGTAAGTATAGATTGCAGATTTGAAAAATTAAATTGAAAAACTCAATACTCAAGTGAAGAACAATTAAAATTATGACTAATTAATAGAAGAATTGAAGAAGAAGATAGAGAAATTACAAGAGGAGAAAGTATAATTTTAATCATATTGTATCATAGTACTAATTAGAAAACAAAGTGGCCTTATTGTCAAGTGAAATAGAGAGAATGAGAGTTAAATATGATGCTTAAGGAAACAAATTGAATATTTCAGAGGAGTAGAAACAAGGCTTAACCAAGGAGTTGGAATAAGTACATAAGTTATTTGAAGAATCATAGGATGTATCTATATATTTTTAAGATTAAAATAGGAAATAGATAAATTGCAGGAATAATTATCAAAACAGAAAGAATTAGAATAAAAGGAATAGGCTCTAAGTTTAACTTTGGTAAATGCTTTCAATGAAATTGATGCATTAAGATAATAATTGCAGAAGGTTTCAAATGAAGCCAATGAATAGAAGAAGGCCAACATAGTTTTGGCTACATAATAATAATGAGTATTATAAAAATAAATATTAATTATTAAAAAATGCTCTAAAAAGCTACAATCAGATTTTATTTATCCCAAGCAAGTAATATAGAATATAAAATTAAGGAAAAATTCCAACTATTTGGGATGTGAACCCATTTGCTTACTAAAGAATGTCTAATGCTTTAATAGGAGCTTACTCGAATAGATAATTTGGAGTTTTAATAAGAGAAAATCTTGAACAGATAACTGATCATCAAGTAGCATATGCATTTCAAAGGTATGAAGCTAGTATTAAATATTTAAATAGAATCAATGAATTGAATTTGGATGCTGATCAAGACTTCTATGAATATGTTTTACCAGCATTAAAGGAATTCGTTCCAAATTTAACAAGAGATCATTCAGTCTCATTTGCAACTATTATTGGAACTTGTGGTAAAATAAATGTAAAAGATGCCTCCCTTTGGTAATTATTTGAAAAAAAAATCGTGGCTGATCGTTTATATAGGTATTGCTGAATTAGATTTAATAAAGATATATTCCTTTGAATGACTTAGTCAGTATGACTTAACAAGTAGCATTAAGTGATTATGGATCGGAAGGATTTTTTAGTACAATGGAAAAACAAATAGGAAGACATAGATTAGCATTGACTGAAGAATAAATTAAATTGACTCAAGAAGCCTTTGATAGAAAAAAATTAGCAGCTCCAATCATTAAGCAATTAAAATAATCAGCTTAAAAACAATTGGCTTGATTTATTAGATAAAAATAAAATATTACATTTATTAGATAAAAATAAAATATTACTTAATACAAATTAATGATCAATATTTAAGATGAGTTTTTAGCTTTTCTTCTAACCAATTATAGAACTCTATATGTTCTTAATAAACAGGATAGAAAGGAGATTTTTCAAAAGTCTTTGCATAATTCACTATTTTTGATATCAAAATATGAGCAAACTAATGAACAATAACATTAATTGTACTTTTCTTCCAATATAAGCTAAGACACTATTAGGAACCATAGAAATTTTTGGATTCACATTTGTGCAAGCTCTAATTGAACACGAATCCTTATCAATAGGAGTAATTTCAAAAATGTAATATTTGATATACATTCTAACAAATTTAGATTTCTCTGGAATAAAAATTCCATTCTTTTCTAAGAATTCTTTATCACCATCAACTGATCTCGATAATAGAGTGATTGTTCCATTAACTTATAATCTATCGTAACCTTCCCCTACAAAAACACATTCCCGATCTGGAATCAAAGGGAAATACATTTCTGATGTGCAAACCTTGCAAGCTCGATTCAAGACTTTGTTAACGTAGGTTCTCTTGCAAAATGGAACCCATAAATAATTCAAATCCATTTCATTTACTAAAGCTAACACTCTTATTGCATTTACCGGTATCTTTGTTTCCATGAGCATCGAGGCAGTGGAAGTGTTTTCTGGAAATTTATACTTGACAGAAATTCCATTACTCATACCATCAAATAACCAGCCATCTGAATCTAATTCTTTCACATTTTCAATCAGATAATTGTATTGCACAATTATTTAATCTACATATTCAGCATGTTATTAATAAGTAAAACTAGATTAGAATTTATCTTAAGCCAACTTTGCATATACATAGGCCTTTATTTATATAGATATTTACTTAGTCAATTTTTGTTTAATCAAATTCGTATTTACTTCTATTAATCAATTCTGACAATTCATCCTATGCTATTTCATGATATATTTTTGAAGGGGGGGATTAAATTAAGGACTATTCTTCTTTTGATTATTGTGAGTAATTATTATTATCGTAAAATTCTATCTATTAATCCTCGCAAACATTCACATTCAAATTGAGTATCTAATTCTAAGAAGGTTATTGTTATAATTGCTCAGCCTTCTATGTTATAAATTCACGACCAATTTTAGATGCTTTATAATTGATACTTAAGCTTCGAACTTCTTAAATTTAATTAGCTACATATGAAATGTCCTAATTACTTTCTTCATCAGCAATTCTAAACATAAATTCTTAAACTTCTAGATTATTCATCATGATGCCCATTAAATTCTTAATTTGTTCTTTTTCTTCAAATGAACCATTTTTCTACTCAAACAAGCTTGTTAAAATTAAATTGATATCATTATATATATTTAGCTTCTCATTATCATTCAATGGACTTGATATTAATTCTGAAAACTAAATTAGATTTTCTCAAAATTCTTACAATTTTTCTTAGATTTTCTAATTTTTCATCACTCTATTTGAGTTAGACTGCCTATTGAAGCTATTCTTGAAAGGTATCAATTTTTAACATTAATATATTAATTTAATATATATGTATATATGAATAAGTTTATTATGTATGTATGCTACTCGTAACACTCAAAAATCATAAAATGATCGATGAGCTGACTCTGAGCATTTGATTTCAGCTAATTAGACGCACAAATAAGTTATCTAAACTCATTAACAAAAAACTAATTAGCCTTTTATTGTGTAATAACTTAATGTTCACAAATTAATTCAATTATTTTAATATTGTTTTAATAAGATAATCTTCTTCATATAAATACCAATTTATTAATAATTATCATAACAAAAAATCGAGTTTGCCCTTTAAAAATTATCTCTTGTGAAAACACTATTAATTTGATTTCTTTATTTCTTTTAAATACTTTCTAAAATTGTCTAAATCACATTGCAAGTCATCCAGTTTTTATAAATTATTGTTATTTTTTTATACTAGATATTCTCTTTTTCTATAAAAAGGACTTCCAATTTGCTTGTATGATGAACTATTCTATAAATTTCTCTTGGGTACTGAAATTTATCGGGGTGTAAAATATTCACAATTTTTTATCCTCTGTTTTATAGGGACTATAGTTTTTTCTGAATTTGAATACTATGAAATGAGCTTTTTCATCTCCTCAGAAGAATTCTGAAATTACTCTTAAACTAATTCAGAATATTGCTCAAAGAGCTTCCTTAATTAACATTAAAATACTTGAGTGGACTCAAAGGTTTCTTAGTTGATTTTATCATGAGATATTCGTTTGTGTGTTCATTTTTTGGACTTTACTAAATCTATTATGGAGTTTCCATCTCATATGATGTTTCAGGCTTAGTTGACTCCAAGAAGATCGGTTTTTCTATATAACTTTCAAGGATGAAAGGATGGCGCAAAGTTTTAATCGCTTTCATGACCTACTACTCTTTAATTGATCTTTCCCTACTTTATTTTTCCCATTTTTTAATTTATTAACCTACTAGATTTGTGCTTTCTCCAATAAAGTTTTTGATTTAAAAACTGGGGTCAATCTTCTAAAATTTATTTTAAATGTTTGCCAAGATCTGTTATTTTTGAAAACTTGTGGTTCTAGATCGATCAGACATTTTGCTAAATAAATAAATATATAACTTTGACTTTATTAAAATTAGTTGTTAATATTTAATTATTTGTGACTATTCTAGTCATGAAGTGATCAAAAAGTACAGGATTGTGGAAAAGAAGAATGATCATTCAATAGAAAGTAAATGATTATCTTTAAATAATTAATCATATTGTGTATTATTACAAACATCTTTATTTTTATATTGACTTAATTACTGTCAAAAAGCTTTAAAACAATTCAAATAATTCCCAAAGATGATTCTTAATATGAGTTTCTTTTAATGTTATACTTTTTTTAATGAATTATAGAGGATAATTTCATCCTTTCAAATGCTTCTAATGTATAAGTCTCATTAATATATCTAATTTAATTTAAATGAAAATAATAAAGAAATTTAACTAGTTTCTTATTGAAATATAGCTTATATAGAAACTAATGAGTTTAGAATTAATAGAAGAATTTTTGAGTAAAATAATATTAATTTTGATTAAATGTTGAGTCCTGAATAAATTTACTCGATTGTTTATAAAACAGATTCTGGAATTGATGGATATGCGATCCCTAGATTTTATCATGACCCAGCTGAAATGATGAGAAATCGTGATTTGTTAAAACAGATAGAAAAAAGTAAGTTTCATTATGATTATGCTTTTAGAATAAGCTCACAAGAAACATGAAACAAAAAGAGGTAGCTATTTAGATGATTATACGAAAATGTATAAAAGCTATCCAAGTCCTTTATAATATTAATCATACTCTATTCAAAAGATTCCAGAGAAGAAAGTTAAATATCCCAATCGATTGACTTTATTTGAATAATTACAAAAGGAATAAAAAAGAGCGAATAATCCTCCTGTTGGAACTTATAACGTTGGAAAAACACAGGAGTAAATAGAAAAAGAACTCAAAGTACTAAAAACCAGAAAAGTCAAAGCACTATAAAGACCTGATACTTATGAGGATGCGATGGCTCACAGCATTATGGTTCCCGGTCCTGGAAATTACAATCCACATGTGAGATATTCAAAAATTATAAAAGTCATTCCTACCAAAAATCAAAGTAAATAATACAAAACCTGAAGATTGGAGAAAAAAGCATAACACTGAAAAAAATAAGAGTCTACCTCAACTTCCTCCTGTTGGTACTTACACCCCTATTGTAAGCGATTCTTTTGCAAAGATTCAAACCTCTGCTCCTGCTAAACGAGCCTATTGGGGAGGTGAGAAACGATTCAAAGGACTTTTTGGAAGTTCTTCTATTGGTCCAGGTCCTGGAACTTATGCATAACTAAGCAAATTATTAGTAAAAGGAGTTGAAAAATCGATTTACCAAGATTGAAATAATAAAATAGTTTTTTTTATTATAAAAATTAATAATTATATAATAAGATTTTAATTTTGAGAAAAAATATGTTGATCAGAAAAATTGATTTACATATAAATTATAATTATGAATAATAAGAAAATATATTATACAAAATAATTTAATAACAACCTTATTATCATAATTAATTTAAACATGCAGATTAGAATGAGTAGTTACATGTGCTGTTATAATTTGTACAATTTAAGAGGTTATAATAACCAACCGCCAATTGGAAGTTTTCTAAATAGTAATTACGTCTGCAACGCTTAAATCGACATATATATTTAGCTCGGAGCTTTAACAATTTAATCATAACAGTATTAAAAGAATCAATGTAAACTAAAATATTTGGCAATCCACACTCATCAAATAGAGAAGTTCATCTTTCCTAAGATTTGATAATAATTTGGAATATTTAAATATTCAATATTGTCTCTCTAAATAGGTAGTTAAAAGATAAATATACAAGACATTGGGAAAAATAGTATACTCATTGGAATTAAACTATGGTTTTTATATAAAGAGTTATTAATTCCTCATAAGAATATCTATATTTTTTTATATTCTCTAAAGATAAAATAACTTTCAACAATTGCTTCTATGCATGTAACGATTTGAAATCAGAAATTAGATATAATTTCGATCAGATTGTTGGATGATTTAATTATTCAAGTTGGGAAGATTTGAAATCTTTTCAACATTTACCTATTTCTAATCTGTGTAAGGCGGATTTTATATAAAAGCCAATTAAATACTGAATATCACAGATCTTGATGCTGTATTAATTTTTGATATTTATGAAAGTGTAATAATTATATAAGTAAAGGAACATCAGATACTTTTCATGAATATAAATGCAAGTAAGTTTAGTTATTTATGTAAACTTTGAGTATTCTCATTAATTTGTAACAAACATCTTATTATAATTTTTATCAAATAAAATGAAATAAATAATTGGAATGGTGATAAATCATATATTTATCAAGAGTACTTAAGTGAATTAAAATAATAGGTAATTTTTTAATTAATCTACTGAGCGAGTATGAGGAAGACGATACTTTGAATGAATGCAAATAAAATCTAGCCAATAAATTCTCATTGAATGGTTCTTCAATCCTTAATTGTACTTTATTAAATTATATTAAAAAATTGATTCTGTTAATTAAAATTTATATTAGGCTCAACTTTTTATTTTATTGAAATAATTATTTAGAATTAAATTAGTGTTTGAATTTTAGAATTATTCAGCAACCTAAAGTTGTAAGCTTAATAAATATATTTAATGGTAATAAAGAATTTCAAAAAATGAGCGCCTCAGAAAAATTATAATTTAGAATCAAAATGAAATTTATATATTAAAATGAATTTATTTAAAAAAATTTATAAATATACACTATTTATCCAGAATCTTAAACAGAAAATTAATTGTAGGTTTTCCTATAATTAAAATATAGAGTTACATCAATTCAAATTGAGGATTTTAAAAACTTTTCTTAATCTTCTATGACAGTTATTCAACAACTGAGAAATTAAAAGATCAAATTTCTTAATCAAAACATCTTCAATGATTATATTAGTTTTGCTATATAATTTTATGAATAAAACCAAAATTTGATCTTACTATTAATGATATTATTAAATGAAAATTAGATCATAAGAAAAATTATCAAATTGTTCAAAATCACTTAATCACTAGATTTCGAAACTGAAAATGAGTACTATTTTACTTATTTACTCATTTTCTATCTTTTGTTTATCATTTTTGATACTGTTAGTCTGCTCAAATGTACAAATGAATGTTGCTACAAATTAAGTACAAGAAATATCAGAATAATTATTGCCACTACAAAATAATAGGTATTAAATTATTCGACAATAGGGCCCTAAACATCTAATCAAAAGAAATCATCGCCATTTTAAACTTTACTTTTTATATGATAACCACAAAAATGACAAAATTGAGTATAATCAATTATTGGTCAAGCTCAATCGATTTGAAGATAAATCAAGAAATTATGCCTTGCAAAGTGTCACAATAGTTTGATGACAATATTTAAAAGTATTTTGCGTGCTACTCTAATTCAGAGTATTTTCAGTAAAGCAAAATAGAAGATGTATAATTTTTTAAATTACTGAATCTTCTTTATATTAATCAATACACGTTTGATTTTTTTATAGTTTCACAATAGATATACCTGGTCTCATTTTTAGATAATTTATTGACTGGATATTATCCAACTAAATTGAAAAATGAAACCTTAGAAATAATATAGCGAGAATGGTTCATAAATTATATGATAGAGCTTAAACAAAGCGAATAGTTCCAGGCTTACAAGCTATCTCCGACCATAAGGATGGAAAATTACGATTATTTAATGTCAGCATTTTCAATGGTTTTATTTGATTCCAAATATATGGTAGGTGGAATAGGATCACTCCTAATTAATCTTCGTAATATTGAATAATTTGTCTATGTTAGTAGCTTAAGTATTATTCTAGTTTATGATGATGGATTAATTTTGTATACTAAAAGCTATATCAATTAAGGCATTGCTAAGAGCATGATGTATATCTATGATGAAGAATAGACTGGATTCAATATATCTGATTGGGATGATATAAAATATTCGATAAATAATTCTGCCATTCCAGTTTAAAAATACAACAGTTTGCTTAAATGCAATATGTATATTAAAGCATCGCAATAACCAAACACTCCGTTAATCTCATTAGTGTATATTTTTTTAATTTATAAAAAAGCTTAACAAACCTAACTTATGAGAATGAAATTATTGCAGTACTTGATGATTAAATTGCTATAATCTTATCTTGGTTTACTTAAACTAATTTATACACTATATTAATTAGTATGATTATAATATTAGTTACATTAATACCTTTAAAATATATGTTTAAATCTACTAATATAGTTATAGATAAGATTATCAGATATTTAAATGGTAAGTTTGACTACAAATTAACCTATGACCTGCTTGATAAAACATAAGTTTCATCAAAAAATAATTCATTACATCAGCTTGAAATCTCATATCAAAAATTAGATAAAATTTTAAATAAATCTTAATTCAAAAAATCTGAACTATGTAATATTCTTGAACACTTTTAATTTGAAAAATCAGAAAATATGAAGCTAAATATTTCCTTTAATAAATTGAATAATTTTAATCAAACATTAAACTTAAAATAATTTAGTCAACTAATAAAATATCAAATTGAAGAAAGTGAATGAACAAGAATAGAAAATTGATAATTATTATTACATATTTTCTCACAATCTATAAATTTTTAATCATTATTTTGAATTTTATTGGTCTGTATTTAGTGAGGCTACCAATTCTTCTTTGTTACGTTTAGATTTGTATATTGAAAAGAGATTTTATATGATTTATCATTTATAAAAATATCTTCTTACAAGAGATTTCTAGAAAAGCAGAAAAAAATGATGATTAAGCCTGAAGAAAAGTTAAAAAATTCAGAAGATTAAAAGTATAAGGAAAAGTACTAATTTTACATAATATCAAAAAGTTTTCATTAAAATATTAATTATTTACATAATATTTATGGACTCCAAATTAGAGAACAATGAAATAGAAGAAAAAATAATCATTAGAAAGCCTCCTTGTAATTGCTCTATTTTACATAAAATTTACAATACAAGTAAATTTAATCATTATAGTTTTAGTGAATGCTGCTTATAAATTAGGGTAATTAACTTTCCAATAAGAAAACAAAGCCAATTAATTTTAAACTTGTGTGAATCCTAAGGAATGATAGGAATCGACTAATTGTATCTATATTGCATGATTAATAATATTGCCAATTTTTTTAACATAAATAATTATAATTCATTACTCTAATGTTAAATATTTCATTAATAAATTACAAATAAACAGCAAAAATTATGAAAAATCAATTATAAAAATAGATGGAATTTAATTGATATGTTAATTAATTGCAAGGAATAACCTCTCTGCTAAATTTTACTTATTATCATTCTCTCTTTCTATGCAAAAAGTATTCAATAATTATTTCTATTATAAGTGATTTAGTGATCATTATTTTTCATTAAATTGGCTTTATTAGACCAACTTTAAAGGCACTTTTAATTTCTAGAAATTATACACATAATAATATAATCTAAAATACTATTTTGAATACTTAATTTAAAAAAATGAGACCAAAATAATAATTTAACATCTTATAAATTAAAATAATAATAGATTATAACATTACTTAAGTGAAATTAATTATAAAGAGTCAATTTTCAGCAATAATTGCGCATTTAATGATATCAATGCATTTATGTTCAGTCTCAAAGTGATTAAATATTGCTAAGGCCTAAATATAATTCTATTTTTACATCAAGATATTATGTGACACCATTTAGCTCTTTTAGAGAACTCATGTATATAATGTCATCTAAGACATCTTAAGCATCAGAAATTGTATATTTATAGAAAATGTTCTGTCTGACATGCTTGCCAATTTGTGAATATATAAAATTATTTAAGTGGCCAACAATTGTTTTTATAATACCTGAATGGTAGTAATCAAAAGTCTTAAGGATTTAAGGCTCTTAATTTATTAAGCCTTAAACAATAACTTTTACTTCAACAGCATCAAACTAATTTAATCCAATAATCTCTTAGACGCACCTGAGATATTATTTGTATAGCCATTTGCAATGATTCCCTGAGTTAAAGAAGAACAAACCTTTAAGAGGATGTTTATTATCTTCAAACCAACTCTTAAGGCTGATTTCTGCTTAATCTATCATATTTTAAGCTTTTTAGATCTAGTTCAAAAATTAATATGATTCACATTAGATTAGATACATAATCGAGACAAAAGGATGAACCATTTGTTACTTGATGGGTAATATTTTTAAATATCCATCAATAGCTCTTTATGCACATTATGAAGCCCAATTATTTATTAATTTATAATTCAGTCCCATTTTGGATGCTTATAAGACACTTAGTTAAAAATCCAAAATTTTTAATCTGTAATCAATTTCAGTAACATCTGCCACAAAATTTAATTTCAAAGAATAATAGGCTTATTGTTTCTTTTCTTCATTTTATACTTTCTACCTAATATCTTCAACTTAATTAGCGGAATCATCGATAAGTTCTCCGATTAGTTTAAAATCTTCAGCAGCTTAGAGAAATTTAAAGTATTCAGCGTATATCATTTATAGATAGGAAATATGCACTCTATTTTATAATCCTAATTGTAATTAAAATAATAGATTTATCTTCGGTACCTTCTATTCTAAGTTTACTAAGATTCGAATGTGATTCAAAATAGCTTCATTTATGAGTTCATTATTAAACAAATGAATGTAATCTGAGTCGGTGCTTTCATCTATTAGGTATTCATATTCAAGTATTTTAAGTTGCTTTAAAGTTGCATTTATTGGGTATTCTTGGTGCTAAAAATACTAATTAATTATACTAAGACGTTGTTCACAATAGAGATTATGATCTTTTCCTATTTAAGAAATGTGTTAATGTATTGAAGAACTTTATGCGAGTACTTTAAGGCATTCTCATAGTCGATTAAATTGATATAATATTTGCATTAGAAATGAGCTAAAAGAGCGTACATTAAAGTCCCCTCTTTGTAATCATTTAATTTAATTCTACATGTTAAATATTCTATTATACATATATTATTGTTTTGGTTCCATCTGACCAGTCATTGAAGTGACAACTTCCAAAAAACATTAATATAAATCCAAGTATCTGACTACATTAGGCTGATGTTTCAATTGTTCTATGCACTCGCACAAAATTTCTTAGATCAAAAAGTAGTCCTAATTAATTAAGATATTGAATAAGAGGTATTAGCAATGAAACTTGGAATCATCAAAATATTTAAACTCATTTGTGTATTCATATAAGTATTTTTATGGATAAGGAATGTACTAAGTGGAATCCTTATAAAGACTTTCTACAATCTATAGATCTTTTTCGAATCCAGGATGTGTTCTATGGAACATGTAAGCCTAAGATTGAAGTAGTCTAGATGTGAAACAATATATCAAATCTACGATCTCTAATTATTGTAAATAGAGGAACGAGTGTAGTAGACCAAGAATTATTATTGATGGTTGGAGGTCCTCTGTCATGTTTTCTTCTATCATGTCTATAGTGCTTTTCAAACTGGAATGCTATTTAAGAGTGCAATTCATAAATTGGCAAAATATTTGATATTACTAATATTTGGATAAGTTTGAGTCTATCAAAAACTTTCCTGCTTATTTATTATTTATCTAAGTACATTTAAGTATTTAACAATAGAATTTGGGTTTAGATTAAAATTTTTTAATTTATTTAACAGCATAAATGGCTATTTCGGATTCTTCTTAATCAAGATTTTCGATGTGTTTAGGTGAATAAGAAAAACAAAGTGACAAAAAGTAAAACATTTGTAATTCCTCCAAACATTATTGGAAAAACCAAGAGTCTTTCTTAATTTTGAATTGGTTATGTAATTCCTTCAATAGTCTTATATATGAGATCTTGATTGAAATTCTAATCTATTTGCTCTACATCTATCTAGGTATTGAATGACTAATAGGTTAGAAGTTATCTAAATGCAAGATTTGTTAAATTATCTTAAGTTGAACTAAACAGTTATATGAATCTAGTGTATTAGGTGCTTTACTACTAACTTTAGACACCAATATTTTTCTATTTTCTAGTGTTTGTTTAAGATTGGAAAATAACAATATCTATCTTTTAATGAAATCATCATCATTAGATTAGAAGAGATTTAATTATTTATTTTTACCTATCTCCCACCATTTCATAAGGTTGATGGACAAATATTTACCAATTTCACAATTCATTTCTTCCTCCAAATCCTATTCAGGAATATCTTCTTTCCTTAACAACTTTAATTGATTTTGATAGAACTTAAATACAGGCTCGTATACTCCATTTAGTTCCAAAAAGTCATTGTAATAATATGAAAATTATTCATTTTTACTGTCGTAGAGATTGATCAAATATAAAAATTTCAAGTAAAGTAATTACGTGCAATATAACTTATCTCCATTAATCAAACAACTGGTTCTCGTTTCTGTATTGGCTGTTGCTATTTATTCTTCCTCTAAAGGGGATGATTATTCCAGATTAATTAATCCTGGACTATGATCAAGAGGAACATCTAAGAATTAAGGAGCTGGCTCTCTTATGACTAGCTTTTCTTAATTGGATATTATCTCCACATATTAGATACCAGCCATTATAAAATTTTAGTTGAAATAGGAATCTATTGCCTGAATAGTTGAAAACTGATTTAGATATCTCTGCAATTACGTCTAATATTGAACGATTACAAGTATATAATCTTAATTCTTTCTTAGTGTATTTATGAGATTCAATCTTTCAAATGAACTAATAGAGGATTACTTTTCAGAAGTTTATTTCAACTTTCTTTTCAATATAATACATTATTCAATTTCTGATAGATTTTCTAATTTTACATTTAGACTTAATTATCTAAACATGACTCTAATTTATGCACTGCATCTTCTTAACCCATCTATTAATTAAGTAATCTCACTTTCAAATTCTTTTCTAAGCGCAAATAGAGCACAAATCTTAAAATAGTATATCAATAAAGTATCCAAAACTTTTTTAATTTCATTCGATCTCAAAATGTATTGACTTAAGTTTTTGGAAAATGAGCTAATAAAATAGGGCAATAATTCTTAGGTATTTTAATAATGCGTAATTCTAAGGTATTCTTCTACTTCTTTGATAAGAATAAGGCATTTATCGAATTGCTTGATTCTGAGATGGAAATTGATTTAATGCTTCATATTCTCCATGTAGATCTAATATGATTACTCTTTTTTAACATAAGCCAACTAAAAATCTATCTCCCAAAAAGGTTTTTGATCCAACATCATATCAAGGATTTAATTTGGAGTTTTGTCAGCATGAATGACCTCCCTTAAGAAATACTTAAGTGGATGGTCCAAATGCTGTAAGGCCTCTGCAAAATCCTCTATTGGCTATAGATAGATCATTTCAAGAACCACTTAAACTAATTGCCACACTTAATTGTTGTCCTAGCTAACTGAATTCAAAATCATGTATTCATTTTGAATAAGTATGTAATTGTATATGGAAACATTCATTATATGATGTTTGGTCATCAACTTTAGGTTCGCAAACATAAACTATCTTAACTCATCTAATGTGTAATATAAGGCGTATTTCTTTCTGAATTACAACACTTAGTATAAGCTTTTGCAATCTGAACATTAGTATAATGATATGCAATATCCTTTGATAAAAAAGTCATCAATCTAGTCGAGGATATTCAATTATTTTATATAATTAGTACTTTCTCCCAAATAAACTCCCAATTCATCATCGTGATATTATTGAAATTTCAATTATTAACCATGTCGAACCTAAAAAAACTACATTAGATATTCTTTATCTTCTATAGTGACTATCCAAAGTATGTCATGCACGTGTTTTTTCATTTTTATATTTGGAATCTAGTTCATCTCATCAATGAAATATTATAAAGCAAATTCTTCTACTTTCTATGAATGCTGCTCAAAAATATAGGTATCTTTGGCCTTATCAATTACATTCTTGTATACTTCTGATTTCAACGGTTCCAAATAATATGTTTTTTGTATTGTTCTACTGTTTGTTGATGAAAACACGAATTGTTTTTTTTACCTAATTAAAATCATAAAAATACTCATATTCCAATTTATTGAACAAGTCAGTAAATTGATTGAAATTATACTGATGAATTGATGAGTATTATACAATGGTTCCAAATTTCTTATGAATGTCTGACTCAAATTGAATTTCCTCTAACTTTTTTGTAGCTTCGTAATATTCCAATGCATATTAAATGGATTGCTTCCTTAGAGTTTATTTTCGAAATCCTCTAAAAAACAAGCCTTTGTATCTAAATATTTATACTTTTCTACAATTCAACCAAGATCTCTTCTCAATATAATTTTGATATTTATAGACCAATTCATTATATTCTTTGACTTCTTCGGATGTAAGAGTGTTTCCAAATTATTGAAATTGTTTTCTAAACTTCATCATAGCCTAATTTTTAAAATACTCATGTTGTTTATCAAAACTCTTTTTCAAGATTTAATATCTTTTGTAATCTAAATTGTGAAATAGCTTTGATTTTCTTTTAATATAACTTTAAGCAATAAATAATCTATAATCACTCCAAAACATATTATAACTAGAGAGGAGACTCAATTTAAAGAAAAATCTCCATATGTTTGTCCTGTCTAAAATGAGTTACTTCTCACCTTTTTAAGATGATTGAATTCTAAAGGCTCCGTTATTAGCTCGTTTTGAATAGTATTTAAATAAGAATTCGTAACTCAATTTCGAAACCTACTTTATCTTTTTAGAGCAATCCTTCATTTTAGTTTATATCTTTTTTCGAACAAATGTCTCTTACCTATAAAACTCTTTGACTGGAACAATAAACTAATTACTTTATTAATCGAAAGAATCTGCTAGTATTTTCCTCTGGGTATTTTAATTGCTTTGAATAAATTGCTGCTGTTGTTGCTACTGCTCATTTATAAGATTCAATTCATTCATCTTGTTATTAAACAGTTCTTCCTCATAGACCAATCTCTTCGAGATTTATTTACTATTTTTTGTAAAATAATCAGCGATTTCATCTTCAGAACTAATAGTTTCGAAATGATCATTAGTATGAGAAATAGTTGATCCATATACTTTAAAAAGGGGACATCTTTAAAATTTCTCCTTATTATCTTTTTAGGATAACCTACTCAATTTCGATTTACTCTAAACGTTGCTTTTGAATATATATTGACTCCTTTTGACTATTTGATCTAAAATAATAGGAGAATTTCCGAATATCGAATTAGTAAGGTATTTAATAAAAAAATTATAAAACAACAGTCCCAAAAACAGGATGATGATTTAATCATGCAGTTTATCGTAATAATAAATGCAAATCAATCCAGAATTGCATAGAAGTGTAACAAAATTGATTAATTAATAAAAATCATCCCAAATGCCTAAAGAGCCATCTCCTTTTGGCCATGGTCTTTGAAACAAAAAAAGAAGTTTCAATTTAGAGATCTAAACTTACAGGATATTCCAAATCCAAAATAATGTGATACTAAATGGAAATAAACAACCAAATATATTCGTCAAAGTTAATTACAAAAAGAAATCCATATAATCATCTATATTTCCATATTTTTCAATGCTTTTTTAAAAAGGGATCCTTTTTTCTTGATTTTCAATGAAATCACATAGAGTTGAGTGGTTGTATGGATATAACTTCTAAGGGGATTTAACCAATTCGTGAAAGAAAGTCTTTAAGAACCTAATCACTTGCATCAGAAATATCCACATCATCGTTGTTCCAAAATAGTATTCCACATTATGTTAGCAATTTTCGTCCTTACAATATAATCCTAAAGGAGAATGGAGAAAACTAATCATCAACAAAGGTATTAATTGAGAGAAACAGTAAAGTGTGTATTTTTTAATTATATAACTCGTTTCGTATTGATAGGAGGTCTAGAAATTTTCAAAATCTGTTAGAATAGTAGCAATTTGTTCGTAAAATTAATCTATTACTAATTAGATTATATAATTCAGTGAAGCAGTCACAATGACTTCGAAATATTAAAAGTCATTTCCTAAATCATCCAATTTGGTCTTCAAATACAAATTAAAGTAATATAAACCCACAAATATTCCAATGTCTGATCCAATTAAAAATATTAAGATGAAAATAGAAATAATCAATCTTTAAATGAACTTAGAGTGTATCACTCCAATTGAATTCAATTGATCATTTTCAATTGATCTTATATTCTATCCTTTGAATGAGCTACGTATAATGCTTTCTTTTACATCTCTATTTTATCCAAATTTAAGATTAAATGTTAGTTGCTATTAATACCAGCAATCAGTCTAAAAGGAACTCCAATGAACTAATAAAATTGAAAACACAGACATGGTAGCTGTATATACTTCATTATCATAATCCTATGAGGTATACAACAGAACACTGAACAACAATCCAAAGGCTGCCATGGGAGTTGAAAACTTAATGAAGTATGAAGTAAATTCAAAATATAAGCCAACCTTCTCGCCAAAATAGAGACAAATCTTTTCTATTGGGCAACTCCATGGATGTAAATAATCTAAATTCCATTCACTTGCAATATCGAAAGGCTTCCTCTTATAAAATAGCTTGTCTTCACTTACAGCTTTTTGAATACTCTTACAATAACCAAACAACTCATATTAATCATGTAAACAGTATATTTATTTAACAAATTACAAATTAATTAGTGCATTTATATTAATTGTTTGTGTTATTACAGAGAATGCTAATTTCAATCTTTCATTATTAGAAAACAGTGTAACTTAATTTTATTCATTTTTGATGTATCTGCACCATTTGAGTTAGTATTTGGCAATATTCTTTATAGATTCGCCAACGAGAGTAATCTTGAAAGGAACAAACAATTCAAAAGGTTTTTAATGATACCGATCCCAAATTGTTTTTAAATATTGGCAAGAACAATTGGCAACTTTAAGCGCTTCCTTAAAAATGTTCAAATAATTATGAGCTAACTATTGTTGTTTGACTAACTTGATAGTTTTTAACTTTGGAAGATCCTTTATCAAAGGCATACTATTCGATAAATCTATTAATTCTCTTACTTTCTCATACATTAAACTGATTTATTCAGAAGCATCCTCACTTAATTCTGTAAATTGATTTATTTTCTCTTTCCTATTGGTCCTTATTCCATAAAGTTCTTCAACTGTCTTTTATTCATCTATGCACAAAGCTATATCGCTATCTATCTAATTCTGAGATCTTTAGATTTTAACATGCTTGTTCAAATGAACTAAATATTTATAATAAGCTGTCCATTCCTCATCAGTTGGACCATCTTGATCCCCATATAAATCAGACTTTCCATATTCAAATAATTCTATATTCAAACCACTCTAGCCTACCTCTCTAGCTAATCTTTTGAAATTAATCTATTTTATTTAATCTATAATCAGAGGTCGTAAATATTCCAAATAAGGAGAGTTATTATATTCATCTGGTCTCCATAATCTCCCATTCAATCTCAGTGGACGGAATTACTTATCCACAGGCTCTAAAGACAGGAGATCAGTAAAACAAAAACTCAATCTCTTTGGTAACTAGAAGTTTTCGGCAGCAATTTCAAGCATCTTTTCAGACATATACAAACATAAATAGATGGTGTATCCGTCTTTGGATATGAATGACTTTACATTGAATCCCTTTCTGGAAAATTAGATTATTATTGCATTTCTTATTAGTGTCAATATGTCGGAGGTTTCGTTTTTGGTGCGATACCATGATTAACCTTACTATTTTAAATATTCTCCTTGACTATATGCTTTTTTTTAAACGTAAACTAATTTCTACATGTCAATTTATAAACAATCAGCGATATTATTTAAACTGCCTTAATTGTGTGAGATGTTATCTTTTAAATAATTTCTAAACTTTTTAACTAATTTAGTTAATTGATCTTCCTTTTTGTAAATAGGAAAATCAGAAGTTCTATTCATTTAATTGATATTATTATCTACGAGTATTAAAGACCGAGGACTTCTGTCTGGGGATTTTTGAAATAATTATTAAGCGGTTCCTAAAAAGACCAGAGTATTTCTTTGTTAGGGTTGATTCGATTCTAAACCTCTTGTCTTTAATTCAAATAACGAATATATTTTACGATCAGCTAAGTGGGTAAAGGCGTTTTCTATGGCTTTTATAAATAGTTTATCATGGATTGATTTATCATCAATTTAAAGAGACTTTACAATTTGTTCAAAAATTTCCAATTATCTTAAGTTATAATCGTATTCATCTGGAATCATATCTGGGTTTGGAAGACTTGGAAATTCATAAATAAAATTACATTATACCTCACAACTGCCTCTGGCAAATCAAATTCCAAAATTGCATTTTCATCATATTATGTAATATTATTAAGAGAATAAAATCGTTTTTCATCTGCATGTCCCACATCTTGACCAAGGAGCATTTTTAGATAAATTTCATATATTTGAACGTAATCTTCTATTTGCTCTAATTTTTTTTATCTCCTTGTTTTATGTATTATTTCAGGAATAAGTTAATGAAAATACTACACTGAGAGTTTCGAAGTAAATGCTTGTATTTTGCTGAATCTACTTTATCTTTAATTCATGAGATAATTAAAATTCAACTTATGAATTTTATTATTAGAATTATAAAACATTTACAGCAAAGAATTTTCAATTACTTTACAGAGAATCATAGAGACTAAATTTAAAATTAAAATCCTATCCTTGTTATCTAAACCATTTTAAACGTATAAATAAATATTATAAAAATATTCTAATTTTATCATTAATTCCTGCTTTTAACTTCAAATAAATATTTTTAAAGTAACCATTTCTTTCTACACCTTCTTGTTCCAATCTTCTCAATCACTATATCCTTATTATTGTATCCTTCAATGCTAGACAAATTTAACTGTAGCTAGACTTGATTGATCTTTTTGAATTCCAGGAATCCTATAAGAAATTACAACAACGCACTTTTTTAAAATAGTTGCCATTGTTCTAATTCAACTATTGTGTAATCAAATAATCAATATTTTTTATAATGAAATTTTTATTAAAGGCAATTTACGGTATTGAAATTCAGAAATTGTTCTTAATTATAGAAAGCGAAAAATCCTATAAGAACTAAAATTAGAAATGAATTATAAAATCAAAGATTGTTTTTCAAGAAAATTCTTCATATCAATTTTTGATTACCATACGTAAACCTTGTAAATGCCTATCATTCTAAATTAACAAATATTAAATCACTCAATTTTCTTTTCTGACTCCCCTTAAAATATCAAATTTTTTTCATTTATTTCTCCAATCTTTTTTGTTGTTTTAAGTGATATAAATTTTAATTCAAAATAGTGTCTACAAATGCAAATACTAGTACCTCATTTTCTTTGTCAAGAGAAAAGCTAAATGGATTAATCAGGTTGAAAAATTAGTGTCCCATATACTTATCTTGTATCTTTTAGATATCCTAATACAATTTAAATTAATTATTACGAGAATTATTTTTTTTTAATCTAACTCTTCATACTACTTAATAAAACTAGGTCCTGAATAGAATTTTTTTCCAAATATTGATTCTAATAATTTTGTAAAATTACTAAGAAATTCTAATCAACATATATTTAAAGAATACTTTTTATTATTTTGCATTCTACAAATTTTAGAAAACAAAAAAATGAATTTATTATCCAAATTACCCATTTAATCAATTCATCAATGTAACAAGAATAATGACAATTACATGAGTGTTAATGATTTGGTTTTAGGTTATTCGAAATTCTTGACAATATTTTATTTTGTTTATATTATATATATAATTATGCAAAAAACTATTTCCACAGGTGATTAAGATTATAACATTGTAAAGGCTGACAATCATCAAGATTCTGACGAAGAATTATAGGAAAAATAGGAGAAGAACTCAAAATTAGTGATTGATGACGAGGAGGAATTGAAAGAAGTTCCCTTAGAATAACATGAATAAAACAATACTAATATCAAACAAGAAGCATAAAAACATCAGCAAGTGCAAAAGTAGTAAGTAATCTAGCAGCAACCCAATGAATAACCTAAAAAAGTTGTTGCGTAGGTTTATCCTAAGTTCATAGACTTTGATTATTAAGACATTAATATTAAAGTAAAGCCTGAATGGAAGGACAAAAGATAAAACCCTGAACCAAATAAATTTGATAAGAAAGCAGTAATAGAAATTAAAGAGCCTGTGCTATACACTATGGATAAGCAAAAACCAAAACATGGAAGATCATTTTTTACTTCCTTATTTTCTACAGATTATAGATATATCCACATTAATGGCGGATATATGTATATTCTATAATTAAAGAATGATAAAATGCTTGTGAAGAGCGTGAATTCTTTATAGAGATTATTTAAATTAATACTCAAGGGAGATTAAATTTAGTTATGTTTCATCAATGCCAATCTAGATAAAACTAAGCCACCTAATGTATTTATTATGTAATTACATAAAATAGATAAAAACATATCAATTCTTGAAGGTTAAAGAATAGAAAGAGAAACTATTAATGAGATTAAGAGGAGAGATTAATAAATTAGGGTATGATTTTGATTTAATGAAATGAATTTTATTGATAAGTTTATATAATTTAATTATAATCGTTATTTTTTAAACATTCCCTAGTTTTAATGAAAAAAAGAGACAGTATTTCTGAACCTCCTCTAGATAAACTAGATCAAATAAGATAGAAGTTTTCGAAATAATTAACCAAAGTAAATTCTAAAGGCTTTGTGACTTGCAACATTGGAAAATCTCCTCAAAATGATGGTGGATCTAGAATTTCATTTGGTAAAAGCTCATTTTTAGAAAAACTCTAATCAATCAATTCATTTGAAGATGATGAGAGAACTCTGCTAAAGTCTATTTAATTTGATGTGTAATTGGCAATAAAGAGATATTAATAAAGAATTGAATAAATTGCATAATAGTAAGTAGAAAGAAGTTCATTGAAATCTTGCTAATAAGAACTAGTACAATACCTAACAACTCCATAATAGGAGTTAAATGAAATTTAATTTGATTCTTAAATATTAACAATGAGATCTACTTGTAAAAGTACTAAATAGAAGACCTAAATTGAATCAAATATGAATAATAAATTAAAATAAAATAATAAAAACATTTTGGGGAATAAAAGATCAAATAATACATTCAAAATAATAGCTGATAAATAAAATAAAGTTAAGCAGACAAAAAAATAAAGTAATTAATCTCTCACTGAAATAAGTTTGCTAACTAAAAAACAATCCATTAATAAAGATGGTACTCTTAGTTAAAAATCAGTTTCTACTCGTTAACCTAGTGTAAAGGAAATAGCAATCAATTTAGAATAAAGAAGATCTACAGGAATGACAATTAGAAATCAACCAAGACAATCAAGAAATTCAATAAACTCCTTTGATAATAAATAACAAGCAAAATCTAAAAAACAATTAGTGTTCTGACTAAAAATTAAAATGTATGGCTTGAATTTAAAGAAATATAAATAGTAATTAATTATTACAAACAGAATATTTTTTATAAGTATTTTATTTTAATCGTCAGTCTTGCACTAGGAGTTTAAGATATTAAATGTTATATTCAATATTTCTTGGGTAGTATTATTGAACTTCAAATTTAATAGCTTTGAAGTGCTGAAGTATTTTAGAAATGACAACGACACATACAATAAATCCAACAGTACAAAGTAATATAATTTTTGTATAGGTGCTAATGTAATTAGAATTTGTCTTAAACTATTCTAGAAGTATTATAGCAGTGTATATTACAGCTATGACAACCATTGCTATAAAGAGAAATTCAAGAAATAAGGAAAATTTGGATTCTTTCCATTTTTTGAAATTAAAGTAGATGCAACCTTTGAGGTGGTATTGTTATTTACATTATTAGCAAGATATTCTTTTCATTATGCTGCCAGTTTAAATGTAAGTTGTTGCGCAAGTTTGATGAGCATATGAACAAGGGCATATCTAAATTAAATTCTTATCTGTACAACAAAAGTAACAAACCTTATTAGAAAGTGATTGCATCTATTGTTCCTCATTATTTCTTAAAGTGTTCAAGGATGTTTAAAGATTGTTTTGCTCTTGTTCAGAGCTATTTTACTAATAATTTCTATTAATTAAGTCTTCATTGAAGATACTGAATTATTAGTTTAGTATCTTCTTTTTAATCATAATGGTTTATTCATCATGCTATTCTGAGAGCACATTGAGGGATTTTGAAACTTGAAGTGATCTATAAGTAGTCTCCTTTTTAAGATCTTCTATTTCTATGGTTTTAGTGAGTTAAGGGGAATGGAGTCTGAACTCTGTAGTCATAAAAAGAAATAATCAATTGAGGAAATGATAATATGTGGATTTGAAATAAGTCAGAGTGAAATATGAACAAAAATATTAGTAAAAATTATAAATAAATTATTGTAATAATGTTATGGATTGTCAATGACATAAATAATTCAATAATTTTGCGTAAAAAATGATATTTTAATTGATGTCTTTAAAAAATTTTAAATAAAAAGATTTCCATATTTATGAAATCATTGATATTAATCAGCTTGTTATTAGCTACATCTTTGTGTGCATTCTAAGAAGAGGATAATGTATTGGTGTTAACAACAGATACATTTTAAGATGCTATCGATACTTTCAAATTCATAATGGTTGAGTTTTATGCACCCTGGTGTGGACATTGGTATAAATAAAAATTTATCATTAAGCAAGAAGTTGGCTCCTGAGTATTCTGCTGCAGCTGCTGAATTGAAAAAGATTGGAGGAGACAATTACGTGCCTTTGGCAAAGGTTGATGCTACAGCTGAAGCATCAGTGGCTGAAAAATTCTCCATCTAAGGATATCCAACAATAAAATTCTTCATTAGTGGTCAAGCAATTGATTATGAAGGAGGAAGAACAACAAATGAAATTGTTGCTTGGATTAACAAGAAATCAGGACCCCCATCTACAGAATTAAATACAGTCGAAGACATCGAAAAATTCTTAGAAAGGGTATCAAGTACTCCAATTCTTGTCTATTTTGGATCAACAACAGACAATAATGATTATAATACCTTCATTGAACTTGCATAATAGAATGATAAAGTTACATTCGCACACACCTTAAATTTAGAATTAGCTGAGAAATACAATGTTAGAGGAAAGATAGTCCTCTTCAAATCCTTCGATGAGAAGAGAAACGATTTTGATTAATCAGTGACATTACCTAACTTAGAAAGTTTCATAAATAGCTATGCTAATCCAATCCTCTTACCATTCAACGATAAAGCAATCAACATCGTTTTCTAATAGAGAAACAACGCCGTCATTTTATTCACAGATGATTCTGATGCTGGTGTTGCTGCATTCGATGCCTTCGCTGCCGTTGCCGGTTCATTCAAAGATAGGTAATCCTTAATGTATTATCCTTAGAATCAAATTCTCATACTCCAAACCAAATGATGGATCAGGTTTATTCCACAGATTAGCTGAATATATTGGTGCCAGCACTACTAATGTTCCTAATGTGATGTTATATGACTAATTGGGAGGAAATGGTAAATACAGATTCGAAGGTGAAATCACAACTGAATCATTAAGAACCTTCTTAACAAACTTCTTTGACGGATCATTAACAAGATATATGAAATCAGAAGAAGTACCTGCTACCAATGATGAACCAGTTAAGATTGTTGTTGGCAAAAACTTCAAAGATTTAGTCCTCAATAATGATAAGGATGTTTTGATTGAATTCTATGCTCCTTGGTGTGGTCATTGCAAACAATTGGCTCCAATTTATGAAGGTTTAGCTAAGAAATTGTTAGTTAATCCAAATATCATTATTGCTAAGTGTGATGCTACAGCTAACGAGGTAATTCTTATTCTTATTTTTAGATTGAAGGTGTCAATATTGAATCATTCCCAACAATCAAATTCTGGAAGAATGGATAAAAGAATTAAATCATAGATTATAGCAGTGGAAGAGATGAGGCCAACTTCATTTCCTTCTTAAAAGAAAACACTTCACATTAATGGGTTGATCTTGATAGAGTAGAAGAATTATGAGTGTATGTATTTTCATTTCATAAAAAAATATCCAATATTTTATTATAATTTATGAATACATTTCATGAATATTAATTATAAATACCTCATACCAAACAACTCGAATCAATAAATGAAAAATCAAACATGGAAGGTAGTATCGTTTTAAGTAGTGAGAGGTTAAGTCAAAAATAAAAAAAATTAGAAATTAGAGTATTTCATTTCATTTCTCTTAGCAAATAACTTCAAGTAGATTGATACCCGTTAACAATGAAAAATTACCCAGATTGTCTCAAAGCAAATCTCCACCCCAACAGCTTAAAACCATAAGAGCAATAACTGAATATCAAGCGCCTTCTAAATTACAAACAATTAAGTCGTTTAGGGCAAATACAGAAAATGATGCAACTCTCTATACTGATGATGAGAAAGGAAAACCTAAATTCAGAAGGGATGATAAAAAATCAAAAACAAGCAATCAGAAAACTGGAATTTACGAAAGTATGTAAAACAAAAAGTTTATTGAGTTTGCCGACTAAATTAGAAGACTCAAAGATTAATTAGATTCTTTACAAGTATTTTTAATCTAACATATAGAAATATTTGAATAATTCAAGAAAACTATTTTTAGTAGTGAGGAATATTGTTGAAAAACGAAAGAATCTAAGAAAAATTCTATTAAAGAATGGTAAAGATGAGCTTGTAGAGTTTTCTGACATTGAAAAATATTGCAGTATTAAGGAATTTGTCAATATAAATGGAGAATAAAAGCTGGTTGATAAGCTAAATATCTCATTATTAGATGATATCATCTATGCCAATGATGTTTTAGAAAATCTGAAAATATAAAATGAAATTCTAGATATTAAAGAAATGGCTGACTAAGTACATTTTAATACAAATTATGATTATAATAGAAAAAAATCAAATAAGCAGGTTGAACAAAATTTTAAAAATCAACTAAGAAGAAGACCTAAAGTTATCTTTCACGTCTATGGCAATGTCAAGATATAATTTGCATGAATAAATTGATGTTTTCGAATAGAGATTAGGTCCTCTCTAATCTATTAAAAAAAATTTAAAGTAAACCTCTCAAGCTATTACAACTTTTGTGAAATTATTATGTGATAAATGATACAAATTTCTTGATTTTCTATTTATTATTATTCGTAATTCTAATATAAAATTATATTTAGATATCACATGAAGAGCTTTAATATAATTATTTCAAGATGATTTGAAATCGATGAGTTAGATATCAAAAAATTGCATATTGAAATAAATAAATAGAACTCAACTGATATAGAGAAGGCATTTTCCTAACCCTTATTCATAATAAAACCCTTAAGATCCTTTGTTGACAATTTACTATACTTTGAATCCTGAAAAAGCTGATTGTACTTTATGAAATAGAAGAAATTATTATCTCTTAATGTTTCTTCGAAAAAATAACCTAAAATTATCTCATAGGTACAGAAATTGTCTCAACCTAGCAATAGTATTATTTTAAACCTTAAAGACTAACTGTTATTGAAGTAATATCACATTATTTTATAAGCTGATATTATATCAAGAATTAGTCTTTTATATTATCTTGAAAATTTTCTTTAATATGAAAATTTAAAAATATATTTAAGTGCGGATCTTAAAATTGTATTAATTAGGAAAGTCTAGAAATAACACTGTTTTTACCTGAAGATGAGTTTCTAAATAAATAATTATTGTAATGTACCCACAAAGAATAATTAATGTATAATTATTCATTTTGAAACCGCTCTTTAATATTACATAAATTATGTCCTCTATTTTAGTTTAAAAATACGAAATAAAGAAATATTTTAATTCTCGTTAACAATAATTAAGAAAGTACGTAGTTTCTAACTATTTTATAATTCCTTCTAAATGGTCTTGGTATTTTTTTTAATTAGTTTCAATTAATCTATTATCTTCTTTCTTAATCAATACTCTCACTAAGTATGCGTTATCTAAAGGACTCTCATGAAGTATAAACATACTGTTGATAAACTATTCCTTGCCTGTTGTTGAATTAGGAAATACTTAAAATCATCAGGATTTCTTCATAATTACTTTGTTATAAATGAGAATGATTTAATAACATTTGAAAGATTTTATCCAAAATATATAAGACTTTTACCACAGGTATGATGCAAAAAAATTCAATTTTCTAAAATCACAAGCTCTGAGATTTGTGCTTCAATGTTAGGAGATTTCTGAATAGCTTTCTTTAACTTCTTGAATTCCTTTAAGTTTGAGAGTTGTCGATTATAGATTATATTATATAGTTAAATAAAACTGATAATGCTTTGTCATTTATTATTAGCAGGATTGTTGACTGATTTTATTTTGTTTTATTTTTTCAGAAACTCTTTGATATCAGCCTTTAATTAATTATATTCTTCTTTCATACTCATAATCATCCCAGTTGTCTCTTCTCTTTTGTTATGCGAAGTCGTTATTTTTTTTTTCAATTAAAGAAATTGCTACAATCAGATTACAACAAATACTGGCCTTAATTCTGGGTTGTTATTAATTTCATTCCAAAGCTTTTCAATTTTTTATTGTTTTCTCTACTGTGCTTATTCTTTGTATGCTTTTGCATCGCTACCAAATTATTGATTTTACATTATTAATATTTATATGTAATTTTGTAATTTGCAATTATATAATAATGTATAAGCCTTATCAATAGAAATAGCTGTGAAATCTATTTAGGAGTATGTATATTTAGACTCTTAAAGGTAAATATTAGTATGCTTAAAGCAAAGCGAAAAAGAATGAATAGTATCGAATAGAATAGAGGACTTTAAAAACATCTTAAACTTCAAGAATTTAAATTGAACAAGATAATTTTGTTATGATATTGAGTAATACAACAAATTGCTTCAAATAGTGGAAATTTATTATAATTGAGTTCATTTCATGAAGGTGAGAGATCAGAGACTAGTAGATTTATAAAGAACATGCAAAATCAAGTTAATACTCAACATCAACATTTTAGATAAGAGGCTGATAAGTTTATATATAAAACATAAATTATAATTCATAGCAATAAATAGAAATAAAAAATTGAATTCTTTTTCAAAGTAAAGGAATATATTTTAATCAAAATAAAATCTTAATATTTTATATTTTTTATGCTAAACAATATTTATGAAAGAATAATAGTTGCGTATACTTCTATTGATCAGAATTAAAGAATAAGTGCTGAGAAAGATTTGAATCAGCTTGAAGAATAGGATGCTAATTTATGTGGATATTTATTGGAATTGATATAAACATAATAATAAAATAGCTAGATTAAATTTTTCACAATAATCCATTTAAAAAATGTTATTAAACGTAGGTGGAAAGCTTTTAAATAGATGGTTGGTTGTGAGAAAAGATAAAGTATTTGACTTTCATATTTTAGATTATTTTGCCGAAAATTAGAAAAATTAAATCAAGGAATTAGTATTATAATTCTACTGTTAAGAACAAGTAGGTCAACTCAAATAGGAAATTTTATAAATTTTATACGTAAAATATAAATTGAAATATGTAGGAAGTATGCTCAAGTGACTACCCTTTTAAATATCCATTATTATTAAAATACATTAATCAATAATTGGAAGCGAATAACTTGGATGAACAATTATTATCATTCCTAAAACAAATATTCAAAATTATGCCTAAAAATCAATAAAAAAATGAATAATATAATTGCTTATGGTAAAAAATAGCCTCATTATGGGTCAGAGCTGATAATCTAAATAATTATTCATAGTAATCTTTGCTTCTACTTGATAAAATGTTTACTAATTTTATCTTATCCTATCACTCAAATGTCTTCAAAGATGAAATATAATAGATTTTTAGTTCAATGTTACAAAAAATTGCCATCTTATTACAAAGTGACACATAATAATAATATCATAAGAATATTACACATTTAATTTCTAAATGCTCTAAATTGGTTGCTAATTATCCGTTTTAATTAACTTAAAATTTACCAGATTACTTATAAATGTTAAGTGTAACAATTAATTCCAATAAAAAGATTATTACTAAAGGAGGTTTAATTTCCTTTATTAGGTTTCTTAAACTATCATAGTTATTTTTAACTGATGATTTATTGTTGCTTAATATGAAAAAATATTCCGACTAAGAGAAATAATAAGTCTTAAAAGAGAAATAAGTTGTTGATACAATTATAAAGTAATTTTTTGAAAAAGAGAGCTAAAATTTCATATAAAGATTTTTAACATTAATAACATCATCAAATGAAATCAGTATTGAAGATATGATTGAATAAGAAGAAGAAAATGAATTTGAAAAAATTTTGCATCCAAAAGATGCCGAAATTTTTAGTTTAGCATTAATTGCTGCAGAACTTCTCATAGTCAGAGCTCCATCAATATGTTCAAATTTACTTTAAGGATATATCGATTAGACAATTTAAGCATAATTTTAAATAAATCCAAACGTTTTAGAAAGTTTATTGATAATTATTGGTTTAATTCCAAAAATTTAGTCAAAGCTAAAATTCTAATTTTAAATCTAATATCCCACAATTATCTAATACTTGTAAACGTCAAATCAACTTCATCATTAAAGAAGACTGTCTATTCTACTAAATAGATTAATTCTTATTTTAGATTAGAATTAAATATTATCTTCTTTATAAGTAGCAGGAAATCTATTGTCTACATCTCAAGACAGCATAATACAATACCAATCCTTACTTTGTATAAAATAGGTGGCTGTTAATTATAATGGAAGCATCTAATGGAGTTAAATATTGGTTACAGTCTGCCCATATATAGTTGCACTTCTTAAGTGTCTAAAAAGAACAACAATTATCACACCTTTGTTAGATTTGCTCTCTAAACTAATCGAAAAATGTCAAAATGAATAAACAGAAGTTGTGGTTAGTGCAATAGAAAATAGTGGACTTTTTTAATTGATGTAATCAAAATTCTAAGAAGCAGAGGAAAATTTATTGATAATAGATTAGGTTTGTTAGATGTTGAAAACACTCATTATTGCGTATCCTCTCGGAACAAAAATCCCACATATATTCTAAATGGCTCTTGTACTTATTGTCAATAACATCAACTCAAAATAAGCTTGTATTTTGGAGTTAACACTATTACTTTTAAGGGAATATGAAGAATAGTAATAAAATTTTCCTATTGATCAATTAATAAGCATCTTATAGTAAAACTTAGATTCTTTATTATCTGATACCTCACAAATAAACTCTTGCATAATTATTTCAATTATTGAAGAATTATATTTATTGAATACATTTTCAGTAAATGATTTCTCAAAACACATACCATATATGGAATCTAGATATTCACTAAGGGACACAAATGTGAAAAATTCAGTTTTAGGTCTTACAACTACTATGATTTTAATGCTTTTGAATAATAATAGATAAGACATAGCAATATTTTCAGGGTTAATTTAAGTGATACTGAATGATTTATTAGAGCCAGAAATGAATGAAATACTTGAAAATAAATTTAGAATCGAAATTTAAATTGTCAGCATACTTAACAGATTTATAATTTTAGCAAGAGATAATTTCTTTTCTTTTGTTTAATAAAATAGCATCTCTTTTGAAAAATATTTATAAAGCTGGATGAAAAAATCAGAAATATTGGAATCTGAAAAATCTATGTAATTTAATATAATTATATCATAGAAAATTAAATGTAATAGCATTTTTACTCATAATTGACTATGTATAACCAACTACATTCATTTAATATTTTACTTAAATTGCAACATAATATGCCAGATTTTCAAAAAAACAATTTATTCAAAAAACAATTGCAGTACTTACTCCAAATTAAAGACTTTCATAACATAGGGCAAGCAATAGAAAAGAAAAGATAAGAAACACTTAAATGCATAATGAACACAATCTTCAACAATATTTTAAACAAATGATTCAAGACTATATTCTTAAGCATAATTTATCATAAGACCTAACAGTTATTTAAGCTTTATAGATGATCTCATGAAAGAATTATTTTATAAATAAAAGACATGATATTTAATATATAAAACTTTATTTTTATTTGACTTTGATCGTGGTTAAAACTTAGATTAAACATTTATATTGTTTTCTAAATTCTCTATTTCCTATATTTTCATTCCTAAATTTTAATTATTTAGTCATTAGAAATATTCAAGAAAAATATAATTTAGACTATAAAAAAAATAGAAATAATGTTTAATTTCAAATATCAAATCTGATACCATCTTCTCTATCTATATAATCCCAAATAACAACTTGTACATCCTTTTTCGTTATTTTCTACGTTTTTTTGTTTCTATAAATAAATTTAATTTCTACTTAGTTTCGTGAAAATATATATAATTAGTATCGATCTACAATTAAAGAAGTTAAGAAAATATTTCAATTGCTTCTGTGTCTTTGATATCAAAAATAAATAATTTGACAAAATATTGATTTCTTTCTGCTATTTCAAAATATTCTTAATTCATTTCATCAAAAATTAGAAGAAATGGCATCTAATTTTTCATTATGTGTTAAATTTCTAAATCAGTTCCAGTATAAATTAATGGTAATGCTTCCTGGATTAAATAATTTTCCATGCTTAGAGAATTAACCAAATTTATACTCTTAAATATATCCTTTATATTTTTTATGTTCTCCATTTTAAGGAAATATCACTAAATTTGTTCCATCCTCAATGTCAAATTCTCTTCTTATAGTTGGCGACTTAGCCAACACCATATAAAACAACGAGTATTTCATATTTACTTCTTTCATTTTCATAAGGATAAATGGATCAATAAACTCATTCTCAGAAGCAAAATAGACTAATGCAACTTTTTCTGTTAAAAATTCTTATAATGAGTGAGTATCTTCTATGATATGAACTAGGGGCCTTAAATTTTCTTTTAGCCATTAAAAAAGGGCTGTATATGATTTTTAACCTTCATAAACTTCTACATCTCCTTATCGGAAAAAAATCAGCGCTGGGTATTTATTGATTCCAAATCTTTTAATAAATAAAGGGTTTTTGGTACAATTTATTTTTCCAAATCCAAGTAATTTTTCTTTAAAATTGATTTATACCTTTTCAATTACTAGGTCAACTTCATTGCATTTTTCACAATCATAGCCTCTGTAAAAATGTATTAACGCATAAGGGTATTGATCAATAAACTATTCAAAATTTTTTGAATTTAGTTCATTAATGGATGCAGAGGCTAAGAACAATAACAGTAAAAAAATAAATTGCATAATTTTTATAATAAAATTCAAGCATTCAAAATATGAAGAAGCAGAGGGTATTTCATTAAAAAATTTCACTTTGCACTTCTCGTAACAAAGACCATTAACTACAAATAGTAGAAGATTAATAAAATTTCCTTATAGAAAAAATACACTTCTCAATAAGATAACAGTAAGTTATTGATAAATGCTTTGTTAGAAGTTTATTTAAATTATTGTAAGCAGCTGAACTCGACAATCAGAAAAGTTTATAATCTATTCAAAATATATATGTAATATATGCAATCATGTAAATTAATCAGTCTAGAGGATCAGAAATGCCTATTTTATTTCTAAAATTTTGAAGCAGTTAGGGAAATGCTGATTCTATATCAATAATCTTGCTACTCATTTTTCAAACTCATTTTGGAAACTTATATTTTGATAAAGATTTTCATTACAATGTGTACACTTAGTTAACTAAAAAATGCACATTCAAAACAAAATTAATAATTTTTTATTTTACATAAATTGCAACTATTTTCTGATACTATGAAATTAGAAGATGTGCAATTATGCATTCAATTTAGGACTCAAATGATTCTATAGGATAACAATTAGAATCTTTTAGGGTTAATATATTTTTAAAACAAGTCTTTGGAATGTCTCAACAACAAAAAGAGAGGAGTTTCATTAAACCAGAAAATGCATAACTCTAGAAGTACATTATTAATAACTTTGTTCATAATGATGAACATTTTAGTGTACAATTGTTGGTAAGTTAATAAGTTTTTCAACAATTTTAAATCTACAAAAAAGTTATATTGTCTTGACTACGAAATATTCAGAGAGCATCTGAATTTACTGCCTTATACTTCATATTACCGATGATTCAAAGCCTGAAGAATAAATTATAATTTTTAAATGTATCTTAAGGAGAAAAATGACGTTTGTAGTATGGATTCTGGTTCAAGTTAAACAATGAAATTGTATTTGTTTATCAATTATTTTGCCGAGCCGAAGTGAGTTGAATCAGTATGCTTTGCACATGGAATAAACATACAATTCCAGGAGGTGGAAATTCATCATCAGCAAGTAGTGTTAGTTAATATTCATGTGTCATCATAATAAACAGTTATGAGAAACATCACCACAATCAGTAGCTCATTAAAACGCGCAAATTAACGGGACCACAGGAAATGTGACAGAATTCCATATTTCAAAGTTGGATTTACTTTAAAATAAATCATTTCGCTTAAAAACACAATCTCTTGCATAATGCTATCATATCTGTGGTAAAACCTGGTACTTTTGGTAGCATTGTCAATGCGATGCTAACTTTTAACTTTTATACGATAACAATAGCAAATTAGCATAGATAGAAGTGCTAAACAAAGTTCTAAATACACTTACGCTGACACTTGTACTATCCCTATATCAATTGTGTTCATCCAATAAATACAACTTGATTTATACTTTACTTTCTATTTTAAATTCAGATGACTCCCTTTCACTGAGTGGAGAATCTTATATAGATTCAGCATATCATTAGTGCATCAATGATCTTTAGAAAAATCTTACGCTTATTTGATGGTTGCTTCCTTCAAAATTCCATTCTTTGCAAAACATACAATTATCGATTGTAAATTGAGGAATAAAGTTATTGCTCGTCATAATATTATTTTTTGGGTGCCACAATTTATTATTAATTCTATACACCTTTTTATTAGTTAAACCTGAATTGGTTTTATTCATAATTACCTGTCTAATATTAATTAATGAATATAAAGATTCACCTAGAATAGCAGTGTATTTGGCACGTATGCTTCATATGTATTGTGTAATAGCATTTTAAGTGATCAACACACGCATAACTGACTATTTTGTAGCGTCATAGCTCGGTGCTC